TGTTCTTATGGTAGATCTATCAAATAGAACCAATATTTTCACAGATCAAAAAACCATGATTGACTTTGCTTTAATTATATCTGTCACGCTACCTTTTTTGAATATATACACGATGTATTCCTATGATTATCCAACTGTTATCTCACCTCTCAGTTTTGTCAGCAGACGTGGACGGAGCAGCAGATTCTTCTGCCATTCTGAAACTGAAGATGTGAAATTAGAACAGCTTACACATTATCAACCAGATAGCAGTTAGTTCCATAGCAGTAAATACTGTAGCACTTTCAAATAGAAAATACTTTACAGGCCTGATGATATGATAACCAATTTTTGCATGTACACAAATTATATTTTCTTTTGATATGGAGACATAAAATCATAGAATTGGAAGAGACCGCGTGGGCCATCCAATACAACCCCCTGCCAAGAAGCAGGAAAATCACATTCAAAGCATTCAGATCCAGCCTCTGTTTAAAAGCCTCAAAGAAGGAGCCTCCACTTTACTCCAGGGCAGAGAGTTCCACTGCTGAACAGCTCTGACAGGAAGTTCTTCCTAGTGTTCAGGTGGAATCTCCTTTCCTGTAGCTTGAAGCCATTGTTCTGCGTCCTAGTCTCCAGGGCAACAGAAAACAAGCGTGCTCCCTCCTTCTCCCTATGACATGACCATCCTGTCCCCTCTCAGCCTTCTCTTCTGAAGACTAAACATGCCCAGCTATTTCAGCTGCTTCTCATAGGGCTTGTAATACTCCATGCATTAGCCCAAATGCATTATGTGCTCAGATTTACAATATATAAGAAGACAGGCAAGTGCCAGATAAATGCAGTTCCTGATTGCTTCAGAGTAAACCTTACTAATACTACATATCTCACACTTTACCACAAACTCTATATTGACTTAATATTGCTATACAATATTTGAAACTGAGTTAAGACAAACTTCACTTAATGTAACGGTTTCATTATCTTATAAAATGAGCTTTAGAAATTCAAAGTCTTTCTTTGATTTTTCTTTTGCTTGCCTGAGAGTTTTGGTTAACTGTACTCTGTATGTTTGTATATTTATACATGTGTGCACATCCGTATACACACAAATAAAACACATTCAGTGACAGGTACATATGTGTGTGAATGTGTGTGAATGGCCACATAATTCCATAGGAAAGGAAAACGTTAGAGGTGGTTTGCCAGTTCCTTTAACTGAAATACAACTTTTGGTACTCATTGGTGGCCTCCCATCCAAGAACTAACCAAGACTGACCCTGTTTAGCTTTCAAAATCAAACAGGGACTAATTCTTTTAGATATACACAGACACCTATATCGGGCATGGGAAAACTTTGGCCCTCCAGGTTCTTTGGACTTCAGTAGCTGTTAGGAATTGAAGTACAAAACACCTGCTTTATATGCACACATATACACACGCATCTTACCAAGCCCTACGTTATTAAAACATATAAGAGCCAGGCTACTTAAAACATATTTGGGAGACATAGAATATAGATTAGAGTCAGGCTCACCCTAGAAACCAAGCAGCTTGGGAAGTTTCCTGAGAGAAAGAGGGAAGAAGTTGCTCACCTCAGCAAACAATAGGCTCGCTTTGCCCCGCCCCCTCTTTCCCCTCAAGAGCCACCTTTTGGCGCCAAATCCCAACCGCCGCTCCTGACTGGCCGAGCCCCTCTACCACGTGACCGCGCTCCCTCCCCTCCGCGGCCCCTCCCCTCGCTTTTCCGCACGCGCCGGCCGAGGGAACCGCTAAACATGGCGCCCAAAAGGCTCGAGCGGGGTCACGTGGCGCCTCGGTTTGCAGGAGAACCGCCCCCCCCCCAACACCCAGGGAAAGTGGAACGTACCAAACCACAAAGAGGGGGGGAAGGGTTGTAAATAGAGAATGCAGAGACGCTTAAAGGCGAGGGGGAAAGGATTCCACAATAGAGTGGAGGCGCCTACTTCAGGCTGAAGCGGGAGCAAAGCCAAAAACGCCCCTCTTGAGGAGAAATGCCTTCCCCCTTTACGCGAACCAAGCCAAGAGCCCCATTTTTCCTTTTCTTACCTCGTTTCCCCTCAGAGAGGCAAAACCTGGCTCGAGCCTCCTCGGGCTTGGAAAAGGACGGCCGACAATAAAAAATTCACCAAGGAAAAAAGGGGACCAAACACGGCAGCAGGCGAATGCAGCCCACCGCCCCTCTGGATGCTTATATAGGCCCCTGAGGACACGCCCCGGCGGCGCGAGGCACGCTCTCAGCGCCCTGGAACTACCTTTCCCGGCATGCCTCGCGGCCGCCCAGCTCCACCATCGTCCAATCAGAATGCAATTCCAAAGGCATGGAAACCTTTGACTGTATGAGCCGCGTAACCCACGAGGGAGCGCTGGGCATTCTGGGAAACGTAGTCCAATGAGTGAGATTTCCCATCTCAGTGCATCTACAACTGGCATAGGCAAAGTTGGGCCCTCCAGGTGTTTTGGACTCCCAGCATTCCTAACATCCTCAGGCCCCGTCCTTTCCCCCCTCAGCCGCTTAAGCGTTTCTCTTTCACCCTCCATTCGTGCCTCTTCAAACTCCACAGCACTGCTGGTCACAGCTGACCTCCAACTGGAGCGCTCCAGAGCCAGGGCTTCCCAGTTCTCAATGTCTATGCCAGAGTTTTTAAGGTTGGCTTTGTGTCCATCTATAAATCTCTTTTCCTGCCCGCCAACATTCCGTTTTCCGTTCTTGAGTTCGGAGTAGAGCAACTGCTTTGGGAGATGGTGGTCGGGCATCCAGACAACGTGGCCGGTCCAGCGGAGTTGATGGCGGAGGACCATCGCTTCAATGCTGGTGGTCTTTGCTTCTTCCAGCATGCTGACATTTGTCCGCCTGTCTTCCCAAGAGATTTGCAGGATTTTCCGGAGGCAGCGCTGATGGAATCGTTCCAGGAGTTGCATGTGACGTCTGTAGACTGTCCACGTTTCGCAGGCATATAGCAGGGCTGGGAGGACAATAGCTTTATAACAAGCACCTTGGTATCCCTATGGATGTCCCGGTCCTCAAACACGCTGTGCTTCATTCGGAAAAAGGCTGCACTCACAGAGCTCAGGCGGTGTTGAATTTCAGTGTCAATGTTGACTTTTGTGGAGAGGTGGCTGCCAAGGTAGCGGAAATGGTCGACATTTTCTAATGTTACACCATTAAGCTGTATCTCTGGCATTGGAAAGGGGTGACTGCTGGAAGAGCACTTTAATTTTCTCAATGTTCAATGACAGGCCAAGTTTCTCCTATGCTTTTGCAAAGGTGTTTAGAGTGGCTTGTAGGTCTTCTTCTGAATGCGCACAGACAGCCTTGTCATCAGCATACTGGAGTTCTATAATAGATGTTGTTGTAACCTTGGTTTTGGCTTTCAGTCTGCTGAGGTTAAATAGCTTGTCATCTGTCCGATAGATGATTTCCACTCCGGTGGGAAGCTTCCCATCAACAAGGTGAAGTATCATAGCGATGAAGATGGAAAATAAAGTTGGGGCAATAACACATCCGTTTGACACCTGATTCCACCTTAAATGGGTCACTTTGGGAACCATTGCTGTCCAAGACTGTTGCCATCATGTCATCATACCATTGATCTTCGTTGAAAAGACCAGTAATGCATCTGAATTTACCATTTACCACAGCAAATGATTATTTGATCCTATTTTTATAATAGGATGTCACTACCATGACCTCATAACCTCTGAGGATTTTTTTTCCCATGTCAGGAGCGACTTGAGAAACTGCAAGTCACTTCTTGTGTGAGAGAATTGGCCGTGTGTAAGGACGTTGCACAGGGAATGCCCGGATGTTTTGATGTTTTACCATCCTTGTGGGAGGCTTCTCTCAGGTCCCCGCATGGGAAGCTGACAGGGAGCTCAACCTGGAGTCAAACCTCCAACCTGTTGGTCTTCAGTCCTACCGGCACAAGGGTTTAACTTATTGTGCCACTGAGGGCTCACCTCTGAGGATGCCTGCCATAGATGTGAGCGTAACGTCTGGAGAGAATGCTTCTGGAACACAACCATAGAGTCTGGAAAACTCACAGCAACCCAGTTATTCTAACCATGAAAGCCTTCGACAACACAATCTAAGAGTTAAAGGTTGTGAGTGTGTTCCTGAGTCATAGTTTAGCGAAATGAAATTGAATTAACAAGAAGCTAGACTAAATGAAATTAAACCCAATGGGCCTGCCCTACAAAGCCACCAAAAGAACACTTATTAGGTTACATCTAAATTGTGAAACTGATGCATGTTGACACCACTTTAACTGTCACCAGGCCCGTAGCCAGGATTTTGTTTCGGGGGGGGGGGTGGTGGTAAAAATTTTCAGGGGGGGTTTCGGGGGGGCTGAGTTTTGGGGGGGGGGCTGAGTCTGAGTGAAAGAGGGTCTAGGCTAGCAAACCTTTTGTATCATTACCCCAATACCCCCATGCATATGGGATATATTGAGTATGCTGATCAGATCATGATATGAATAAACATAACAGTTTAAATAATGCACCAGTAAGGCCTTTTCGCGAACCACCATGAGAATTCCGGGTGGGGGGGCTAAATGCCTGCTACATGCCGGCTACATGCCTGCATGACACAATACTATGGAATCGTGAGACTCATAGTTTTCCTAGGTTTGTAGCCTTCTCTGGCGCGTTCCTTAACTTTAACTTCCAGGATTCCATAACATTGAGCCATGGTGGTTAAAAGTGGCCTCAAACTGAATTAATTCTACAGTGTGGATGCACCCTTAATTCTTCCTATAACTCAGGCATGAGCAACCTTTGGCCCTCCAGGTATTTTGAACTTCAACTCTCACAAATCATAACAGCCAATAGGCTGTTAGGAATTGTGGGAGTTGAAGTCCAAAAAAACTGGAGGGCCAAAGTTTGCCCATGCCTGGGCTATAGGCCATCTAAGGCTCACACTAGAGTACACTGCATACAGCATTTTAACCAAATTGTATTGTAAAGAGGTGGTTCTTTAAAAACCACATCATTTATGAGCATTTTCTAATATATACAAAATGATATTTATTTGCTGAAAAGGAAAACTTTCATTTTAAGCTAATACTTTACGTAAGAATCCTTGTAATACAGAAGAAATATAAAGATGACAATTTTAAACTTTCAGAACAAAAGGCTACAGTGTCCAGTTCAGATGTTATCATGATTTCCAAAGGATACTGGATATTTCTGATTTAGTAAAACTGGTCAAATAGATCAATTACAGTTATACTGAACTTCACCATCCATCCAATTAATGTATAACACAATCCATGTAAAAAAGGAGAAAGATATGCTACTAAATTATTGAGATATCAAAATACTGGGTTGGAGGATAAATTCCCATCCACCCACAAAGGCAACAATAATATGAGACATCTTTTAACTACACTCCTACAAACCGGTTTGTACTACTGAACACATACATATTAATGATAACATTAACACTGCTAAGCATAGCTTTGTAATTCTGAATGAAGGCAGAAGTGCAAACTTGTGGTGCATTTTCATTTTAAAATGCTTTCACGGTACACCTTCAACAATTTATTCCTTTTCCTTGCATTGAGCCTGTATTTCTAATGGGGATCATGGTCAACTTTGTAAAGAAAGATCAAGGCAGGTTAGTACACTCAGGAGTCTCATATACAGGCTCTCTGATTTCTTTTGAACATGTGTTAATTAATAAAGGTAAATATACATTCTTAAAGAAACACAACATTTTATTTTGATTTTTGAAAGTCTAATATCAGATTGAAGTGGCAGTCTTCAACGTAGTTTCCTTCAGTGCTGTAAACTACTGGAATCAATATGGTTCATTGAAGGGATAGAGAGGATGTCCAGCATCCCTTGCTATTAGTTTTCCCTCCACCTGTGAAAGACAAGGAAAGAAAAATAAATGGCATTTCTTAGTGTACCTAATTACTAAACTCAGTCATGTACTTCTACCAATTTCTAAAAGTGACCCTCCGAGTTAAATCAGCAGGGCAAAAAAACAAACCAAAACGGCATTTTAAGTATTGTTTACACCTCTAATGAAGCAACACGGTGGTCAGTTTGGAACTTTAAAAAAAACGCAAACACAAAACTTGAACTTGCAAGAAAGAATCTAATGAAAAGGGAAGACATTTTGAACATGGAAAGCAGCTCAATACTTTTTTGGAAAGTGATTTAATGCTTGAAAAGACAGAGCTGATAGTATACTTTGCTTCTGTATCCCAAGAGCCACTAGGGGGCACACAATACTAATACTACAACAATTTTCATCTCACTTACTGTATTCATAATAAAGCTACCTTTTGAAATAGTGGGCAAACAAAAAGCTCCCATATTTTTCAGGACCAGTAATGCATCTGTTTTTACCATTTACGGCAGCAAAGGATTATTTGGTCCCATTTTCACAATAGGATGTCACTACCATGCATATCCTCTTCCTTTATCCAGAACAAGTCATGTTTTAGCTATTTCAAAGCATTTTGCACAACTCCGTATTTGAAAGCCTTTCTAACAAGCAAGAGCTGTTTATGCTTTGTTACATGAACAAAACACAGCTGAAGAAATGGTGGTTGCTGCATTTCTTTCCTCCACTCTCAGCACCATTTAACAGACAGCATCTGAAAATAACAGTATGTTCATACATACTGGAGCTGTCCATTTTTAAAGCAATATATCACATGAATTGGTCTGATTCCACATTATATAAAATCAGTCATCTCTGAGGTAAACAACTTTGAGATTTTGAGACTCTGACTTTTCCTTGCATCTTATGTAAAGCACAAAAACAGCTTTGAACCAATTTCATGTTTTTCAACACATAACAACACATAAAAATTAAATCAAAAGCCCCATTCCTGCTACCTAACAACATTCACAATAGTCATCAAAGCTAATTAAAATAGTTCTGCATGGACATAATAGGTCATCTTGCCTTCTGCTCTAGCGGTCCTTCCTTAAAGGTTTGAAGACTGTTTACCAAGGGAGAAACTCATTAATATCTGGTATGGCTGAAGAGGTAGAAAGATAACTCACTCCTGGAAAAGCTTTACGGCACAACACCCCCATTAAAAGTGAATATAAATGTTTATACAAAGCAGCAGAGGTAATATTTACCGTAACCATTGGCACAATGTATCGCCAGTTTTTATTCAGGCTCCCAATAAAACTCATTTCTTCATCTGTTAGACTGAAGTCAAATACCTAAAAATAGAAGCAGACACTTATGCTTTTCACTTTTAGAAGTCTATGGCCTCTTCCACACAGCTGTTTAAAATCGTCTATTATGTGCTTTGAACTGGTTTATATGGCCGTGTGGACTCAGACAACCCAGTTTAAAGCAGATATTGTGGTTTATCTGCCTTGATATTCTGTGTTATATGGCTGCATGGAAGGACCCTATGACTCCCACTGCCCTGTCTAAAGTACATTCCTCTTACACTACGTTTGTTGATGTATGCCTACAAGATAGAAAATGAAAGCGTCTTATTGCTATTTTTAGAAAAAGTATTGGATTTTGTCAAATATGGTATGTTTTCAGTTAAGTCTACATGCCTAGGATACACAATGTGTTGATTCTTTCTCAGTCTATTCTGAAGAAGGTTAAATGGAAAGAAATAAAATAAATGCTCCTGTAAATCTCATTCTCCTTGGGAAGATGAGAACAGCTGGACTATTAGTTAGTAATTCTCTCTGTAATGAGAAGAGACTGGAGTCAGAAGCTTGCCAAATCGTAGGCATTACAACTGAATGGGTTGTTTTATGCTGCTGGAGAGGCAGTTATAAATAGCCGACCCAACTAATAACGAATTTCAAACCTTTTTCCTGAGGCAATTTTAGGAAGATATTAACAGAACCCATCCACATAAAAGCTTTGGTACACTCTACAGAGTTTGAGGCATCACCTGATAACCAGCAAAGTTATCAGCCAGATGTTTTTGGAGTGGAAGTGATATCTTGTAATTAATACATAAATATAGGTTGAGTGATCACAGTTGAGCAACCACAGCAGTAAGAAAAAGAGAGATGTCACACAGCATAGACTTCTTTAATAATAGCAAGCCTGGTTTACTCAATGACTCTCTCCCTTGATGGAGTTTGGATTGAACATGAACATCTTATTCTTCATAGAACAGATGCCCACGTCATCCCTTCACCAGTCCTGACTAATGTAATTGGAAACAGGGATTCTTTCGAGAAACAATCCTGTTCAACAGGGTTTTTTGACTATTTCGTTTGTTCACACCCCCTCCCTTTCTTCAATAAATAAACTCATAAAAGTTTATTTTTTTAACCAAAAAAGGTGGCAGATTCTGGGAGTGTTGTTCAAAATGTAACTTACTCCTAACTCTGCAAAAGCAAACTATCAGAAGGCATTGATCATAATCAGGCCGCTAGTGTGCCTTGGGTGTGCCTTGAGTAACACATGCAAACATCTCTCCTCAAAACAATATTTTTTTAAAATCACTCTGGATATTCCAATACTGCAAGACAAGTTCCATAACACAGAGATAGATTAAATAGCACCTCCTTCTTATAAGGAAAAATAAAAGAATAAATTTTCATGAATTATTTTTTACAAACAAAAGGAGTAGAAGGAAAAAATATTTATGTATGAAATTAAAAGAAAGGCCTCGGAGAAAACATCAAATAGATGATGATTATCTAATATAAATATCAAAGCTTTTGAAATACAATTGAAAAGGACACTTTTAACGTGAAAGCATATACAGAATTAGGGATCTGATGAAATCACTGAGATCAAAACAGGACAGGAAATGTATTTAAAGCAGAGGAAGCTGACAATAATAATTTACATAGCAAGGATCAGATGTAACAAACTGGGTAAGTACGCTACAACAATTCAGTGTACTGAATCTCTCAGATCTTTAAAAATCAGAGCCAATGAGACAAGCCAGACCCCGTAGCAATAACATCCAACAGAAATAGAGCTGATGAAATACTGCAGGGTGTGAATGCTACAAAGAACAAATTGGAAGCACTTACATGTGTTTGCTCCAGTAAAACAATACAGCAAGTTCACCAATAGTACTGTATTTGAATATATATTGTGAAAGGATGCTACAAAGACTAGAGTCAACCTTTGTATGGCCAGCCAAAGCTGTCTGCTATGTTTTTCTGGAAGGCCAGATAGGATGCCTCATTTACCTGGAGATTCTGGACTATGCGCGCCGGAGTGACACTCTTAGGAATGACGACCACTTTGCGTTGCACCTGCCACCTATTAGAGAAGACATTATGATTTATGCACACAGACCAAGAAAAATGGCCTTCCCTGACAGAGAAAAAGTACAAGCCATAGCCTCTGGAGTCTTCCTTTGTGATTGTACAGCTCTCTCATGGATTACAAGGCATTTTCAAGGCTCAGAGTTAGACTCAGAATCACTTTAACCTACAAGCTGGCAGGCCAAACCATCGTCTTCATAGTAGATTCTCAAACTCAATAGCAGTTATTAAAGCTGAACACACTAACATATGTGCAATTCATCAGAGACCTAAGTATTCTTCCATCTTAATACTAGGTTCTTTTTCTGCTTATGAATACCTTAAAGTTCCTCTGTTCTTACAGAAAGCTGAGCAAAGCTAACTGGTTATTAAAGTTGCAAAACCTCTGCAGTTGATGTTACCTTTCGAATTTATGGTTCTTGTGGAACCAAACTTTTGCTGTATAAATGTCAGAAATAGCACAATAAAAAAATCACAATATAGAGCTAAGCAAGTCTGGGAAAAGAGCAGCCCATAGGCTGAATGTCATCCCTCGGGACCCCTTTTTAGGCTCAAAAGGGTCATCTAGCCTCTTCCATCATCCAAGTTAAATAGTGACCTGTCCTGGCCTGAAAAGAGCCTAGATGAGCTCAAAAACAATTGCCCACACTTCACAATGGCATTAGATGACGGGTAGGTGCAGTGAATGTGTAGGTTTCAATCATGAATTAACGCAGAAAACGACAAACTCTGTTTATTTGTTCCATGCTCACCCCCCCCCCACCCCCCCACCCCACCCCCGCTCTACCAATGGCTAATCCATTATTACCTGAGGAGGATCTGAGCAGGGGATTTGCCATATTTGTCTGCTATCTTTTTTATTCCAGGTTCCTCCAGCAGCACCGGCTCGTCTGGGTGCTTCCACATCCGGTCACCTGAACCAAGAGGGCTGTAAGCTGTCACTACTAAGCCTCGTTCATGGCAATGCGCTATCAGTTCATTCTGGGCCAGGTAAGGGTGGCACTCCACCTGTTAAGAACAATATATATTCATCAGCAGACTTCTATCATTATATTAAAACAGCAGATTTCAAATAAATCTCGACTTCTGACAATTAGAAGTGAAAGCTACCATGAAAATCAAGGCATCCCACATGGTCCGTTTCCTAGTGGCAGATGTACAGCTAAACCTAGTGCCTAAGCACAAACTGTATGAAACTTCCATCAGCAGATGGTGGGGAGGCAGAGCAGCATTTCAATACAGGTAGAAGGGTGGGTGTGAATCTTCAAAAATTCTGTTCTTACACGCAAGAATTAATAATTTTACAATTTTTCTCCTTGTTGCAGGATTGTCATTGAAAACTGTGCAGTTTTTGAGAACAATACCAAATGTTGTTTTCTGCAGAGAAAATGTTGATTTGTGCAGCAAAAACATATTTTCTGCATTCAAAAAACAGCATTTTCTACATAGAAACATTACTTTCTGCACAGAATGAGTGGTTTTCTGTGCAATAAAACCCTGCATTTTTATGCAGAATATCAGTACTGTGACATATTGTCCAGGTAATTGTTTCCACATGAGATTAGGATCAAGAAGCCCAATTTTAAACAATTCTTCAAATATCTTCAAGTATTTTCCCCATTTTTAGATAGAATTAACAGCAAGACTGTATTTTCAAGATATATTTTCATTCTTGGAGATAATTATTTATACAAAACTAAATGTGGGATGCATTAAAAATCAGTGAGGGGAAGAGGTGTGATTGATTTACTGAAACAGTAGTCTTCCCATCCATTGTCAATCCTTATAACCCAAGATTTATTGTGCTACAGATGCTCTTGTCTATACAGTCTGTATTCTGCTTCCACAATTGTTCTCCAGGCTTCTATAGTAATTTCTCTAGTACGAATTGTGAAATATAGTTTTCATTATCTTGGGACATGTAATTTTGTATGCTAGATTGTAAAACCTGCAAGATATGTAGTAATAGATTATCTCCAGAAGGGGAAAATTGTGATATTTGGCTCCTACAATTCATTTAAACACAATGTTTTAACAATCCGTATTATCCTACAATATGCATTTTATTAACCAGACTCCCATTTGCAAATAACCTGTCCCACAACATTCCTTAGAGTCAGTCATGCTGAACCTATACTCTAAGCAGATTTATTAGGAGAGGATTTTTCAGATGTTTCCGTAATAGAAAATCCTATTAGTCACTCAAAATCTTCAATAGCCCCAGAGTCCTGCTGTCACTTCTTCTAAGGGTTATCATGCCCTTGGACAGATTTGCCCTCCCAATACTTGGACAAACGAATCCTAACATCTCATCAGTATAATGCATATTCTCTATCTCTGGAATTCTCAAAGCATATGGCAAGGTTAACTAATACGCTGAAAGGAAGAACATGAAAACAAAGGATTCTGTGAGCCTCTCATAATCAAAGGTGAGGACATCTGCTACAATTATATAGGCTTCTGTACCCAACCTTGACTTAATCAGGCTTGACAGAAGTGTGATTTGAGCACTTTATCATATCCCTGCTCACAGAAGGTTGCTGTTGCCCCTCTCTATCAATATCTGCTTTGAACTGGCTTCCTTTCACTCAGAACATCCAAGAATATCCAAGCAGGGATTCCTCCTCCCTCTCAGTAGCCTAAAAGAGATGGAGATGAACCCAGGAACATCTGCAAGTTGGCCCTAATGCCAAAGAAAGCTCATCATAACTGTCATATGTTCTGCAGTTGATGGTGGTTAGTGATGGAAGGGTTAATGTATTAGTTCTAGAGGGTTTGGTAATCTGTAAGTGGGAGTTCATGGGTGAAAGCAATTAGGTTGGAGGTGTGCAGAAGATGGGTTGCGGCTGGGTGTTACTGGATTTAAGGAGCTAACCTTGAGACTGATCTTTGGGAGAAAAGTATCTGTTGTAGTTTTGGTGGTGGATGATGCTGGCTTTTCCCCCAGGTCTGTTGGATTTTCGGTATCCTGACCTGTCTCCTGTAATCTTGGAATCCTGGAAACTTGAACCTTTGGTCTGGCTTTTGACTATGGTATAGACTCTTGATCCCTGGACTTTGTTTATTGAACTCTCGGCATTTGACCACTGGACTGGACCCTTTTGACTACGGAGTTGTTTTTGATATCAGTTTTTGTTTATTCTATGGCTGGGGTGCTATCTTTATGTTTTATGTTTTGGTTTATTAAAACAGCCAGCGAGGAAGTGCTGTTTTAATTAAACTGTTTGATAAAACTGGGAGTTTGGTTAATATCTACCTAAATAAGGTAGAGCCCTGGCAACGTGACAATAACCTCACATTGAAACTTGTATGCAAAGGAGAAGTAAGCTTCCTCTTCAAATGCTATACATGAAACACTAAACACAAGTTTACATAGAAGGCACACACTCATGCAAGAAGGATATATATCTTCTACAGTTCCCCCTTGCCCTCTTTTCACTCTCAGCAGAAAGACCTGGCATCCTCGGGGCCCATATTTCTTCACACTGGTAAAGGAAACATCTCAGGAAGCAACACTCGTATTTTCATTTCTGCTCACCTGTAATACAGATGGTTTGACCGAAGCGATGCTAAGGACGTCATTAATCTGACGACTGTTAAAGTTGGATAAACCAATAGCCTTCACCAAACCTTTCTCCACCAACTTCTCCATGGCTTTCCAAGTTTCTTTATAGTCAATGGAGTCATAACGCATGGTGCCATCTGGATTCTTGGGGAAGAGATTATCTCCCCGTCTATAATAAAACATAGATAACAAAACTCAGAGGAAATATTAAGAACTAATGTCTATTTCATGTGACCCAGTAGAGAACAGGTTCTCTTTTCTTCTCATTTTATCTTGTCTAGTGTATTGGTTCAGAGTGGCAAAACAGTTTGACCCAACTACAACTCTGGAGACCTGGGTTTGAAAGTCCCACTTGGTAGCCTTGGGCAAGTTGCATTCTTTCAGCCTTAGAGGAAGGCAGAGGCAAACCTCATCTGAACCCCATGATATGTCTGCCTTGAGATTGCCATAGGTTGGAAACAATTTCAGGGCACAAAACAACAACTGTCTGGGCTATTTAGCTCATAATGAGGTATAAAATCCAATTAGAAACTAACTTAAAATTATTTATTTTATTTACTGTAATTATACCCTGCCCTTCTCACCCCAAAGGGGACTCAGAGTGGCCATACAATAGGAAGCAATCCAACGCCATATCAAACAGACATAATAAAATAAACATATCCATCAAAAGCATAAAGTTAAAAAGCAATATAAACATTAAAATCCATTAGTTAAAACCACGTTTTCCGAAATCACAGTCAACGCCGTTCCAATTGTTATTGCAAATATTCCATCTTTACTTATTGCATTGCACTACTGGAAAAACACTTGGTCCCAAAACTATGTTTTTACTTTCTTTCTGAAGGTCAAGAGGGAAGGGGCTACCTGATTTCCCTGGGGAGGGAGTTCCAAAGCCAAGGAGCCACCACTGAGAAGGCCATGTTCCTCACCCCCACCAACTGCACCTGCGAAGGAGGTGGGACCGAGAGCAGGTTCATAGAGGGAGATACATTTGGACAGATAAGCCGAGCCAGAACCCTTTAGGGCTTTATAGCCTAAAGCCAGCACTTTGAATTGTGCTTGGTAGCAGACAGATAGCCAGTGGAGTTGATGTAACAGGGGGATAGCACGCTCCATGTATGCTTCCTGAGCCATACAACATTATGGCAGTTCCTGTTCAATTTAACAACCCACCATGATGGAGAAATAACTTCTAGCAAGTTGACTAGCTTTACTCATAGTTTTAGAATTATGTTCAAAAGTCCAATCAAATTCCACTACACAGTATGCAGAATCCTTTTTAGCCTTGTTTTTTTTAGCTTTGTGTTTATCCTGCATGGCAGGGGGTTGTACTGAATGGCCCATGTGGTCTCTTCTAACTATATGATTCTCAGTTTTCATTTTGCTTTACTCTCTTTCCTCCCCTTGCTATTTTTAAAAAGTGAATTTCAGATCTCCAAATGATAAAACTCACAAAAGCAACCTACTATAAACTCAGAAAAACAAGGGCCAAGAGAATTGGAAACCAACTGGCATCTGTGTAGACGGTGAGAAACATTTGGTTCAGCCTTGCTTTCTATATTGCTGTTTCACGTTGTTTTCACTGTTTTTCATTCTCACTTCCTTTATCTTGACACTCACTCAAAAGCATGTGGCCAATGCATAAGATAGAGGTCCAGATAATCTAGCTTCAGTTCTTTTAGGGTTTTCTTTAAAGCTGGTTCCACATCTTCAGGGTGGTGCTTGGTATTCCATAGTTTCGACGTCACAAATAGTTCTTCCCTCTTAACAGTCTTCGAGAAAAAAGAAGAAAGGGAATAAGGGCACAAATAAAGGTCATTTCAAAATTATACATTGCTCAGTTCATTAAACAGATGCATCCATGTCTACATTGCTTCCAAGGATAGCATTCATACTCCGACATCAACTTTTTATTTAATAACCTTTTCACTTCACAATATATGTAACTCCCTCAGCAAGTACCTTCCTTCTTCTAACTATGTCTCTTCAATTTCCCTTTACTTCCCCATTCTAGATGCTCATTTTCTGAGTCTCACACACACTCATACAAACAGAAAATGAAATATTATAGCCACAGGCCCTGCTGCCAGCAAACTAAGAGTTTCTCTATCCTATCCTGTAACACATCTTATTTTTGCTTTTGTCATAAGTTCTTAAAGCTATCCAATCTATACCACCTATTCAATTATTTCCATTATAAGAAGAATCTTACATTTCTAATGTTGATGATATAGTAATTTCTATGACATGGCTTCCCATACAGTTCAGCTATAGTTTAATACACACTAAATCAAACATTTGACACCTCAAATGCTTTAAATTACTATAGTAATTGACATTGACATTAAGTCTAGTGGTGTCTGAGTCTGGGGGATGGTGCTCATCTCCATTTCTAAGCCGAAGAGCTGGCGTTGTCGGTAGACATCTCCTAGGTCATGTGGTTGGCATGATTGCATGGAGCACCATTACCTTCCCACTAGAGTGGTACCTATTGATCTACTCACATTTGCATGTTTTCGAACTGTTAGGTTAGCAGAAGCTGGGGCTAATAGCGGAAGCTCGCCCTGCTCCATGGATTCGAACCACTGACTTTTTGGTCAGCAAGTTCATACCTACGTTGTATGAAAGTAATTGCTTTGTAAACAAAACCAACTTAGAACACTTAATTGCTCCTGTCTCTGCCTGTTTTGCAATTACTTCCCAACAACTGCCTATGAGCATTTTAATGCTTTTTTTCTTACCTTATTATCTCCAACCATCTCCTGGAAAGCATCACCTATCTCTGCTTCATTGCTATAAGCTGCAGCACAATCAATGTGACGATAGCCTGCACCAAGAGCACACTTTACTGCTTCTTTCACCTAAAACAGAACAAAAAAGGTTTGTGTATCAGAATGTGAAGGGATCATCTCTACCCCAAAAGTTCAACTAATAACAAAATGTGTGTGCTTTGGGAGTATATTGATTCAGAGAAGGAAAGAAAAAGGAGAAAAAGAAAGGAGAAGAAAAGAGGGTGAAGAAGAAAAAGGAGGAGGAGGAGGAGGCGGAAAAAGAAGAAGAGGGGATTGCTGCTATGTAGCTTGAGTGAAAATCACTCTTTCAGTCATCCATATCATTCAGGAAAAAAGATGCCCAGCTATGGGAAAGCTGACTGCATTGTGCAGAGTCCAAGTAGCTAAGTCAATGAGCAACAGACACTGGTAATCTCTATCCATCAATGTCTCTATCCATCATTCTTTGCTCTTCTAAAACGCTTTTGCAGTGAAGCCGGGGAAAATAATAAATCCTTAAAACTGAGTTTCCCTTTTATAGGAATTTAATGACTTGGATCCAAAGTTGTCATTAACCAAATAAAAAGTTTTCACTAATCCACTGTGGCCTATAGTGCAACATCCCACAATATTCCATAGAGTCCTATGACTTCCAGAACACCAACTGCACATATGGGCATGAACCATTATGTCATGTGCCTGCATAGTTAAATAATATTAACCAGGAACAGATAAATGATATTCAAAAATTAATCCATAAGTAATTAGGAATTATTCTCATCTTGAGCCCACAGATACATGCTGACCAGACAAAAAATTATTGTGCAAGGAATACCAGTCCTCCTCCACAGAAAAGCTCTGCCAATTATGGAAATTCTTCACAATGTATAGCACTTTTTGGATAAGGGACTGGCAAAATATATAACTGTTCTCTAACTGAAAATCATGAGATGCACTATGCCTATGCTATTTGTCATAAACTGAAGATTTATTTCATGTGAAATAGTGCTATCGGAAGATTTAATGTGCTTTTATTCTATTCTTTGTGATATTGGTTTTTTTTGTTTTCTATTATTATAAGTGTCGGTTATATAACATGTTGCTGTTGTGCTTGATTTTATTGGTTATATTAAATTTACAATAAACCTCTATGTAGAAAAAGAAAGATTTTCTTAGTAGCAGTATTAAAAAGTTGCTAGTAGGATATTTAGTAGTAGACTTCTGCACGGATTCAGAGTGGTCGGTTCCCTTCAGCCAATACAGCTTGGTCAGATGGCCATAACGGCAAGGGCCCAGCCATCGTGTTTTTTCATCTGTTATGGGACCACATGGCAGCCAATCATGGTTCCTCATCCCATATTCAATATCACGAGGTGCACAAAGATGTTGCGTCTTATGCAAACTGTGTCTGCTTCCTTAACTCAGTTGTTGAAACACAGGCTCCTTTGAAGGGAAGGAAGGGAAGGGTGCCAGGAAGGGTGCTTCCCTAACCCCGTTGCTGAAACCAGACTCTCTTGAAGGGAAAAAAGGAAAGGGTCCCAGGAACTGAAAGGGGAGCCTTGTAAGTTTTGCATTGTTGCCAATGGGCTGGATCTATCCATCAAAAACGGCTATCCGTTTTCGGGGGGGACGGGGGGGGGGACACAAAAACTGATACAGGGATCTACTGGAATCTGGCCAGCAGAAACGGATTGAGGTTCAGCCAAAATGCACAAGCCTCATCAGTAGTACTATTTAATCAATTTGTTGATTCATCTGTTTTGGAATTGCCACTATAAACCCCTGTTCTGAAGAAGGTTTTGCTGCAATGTAATTTATGATACATATATTTATGTGCAACGAGGTTTCCTCTTGCTGTGTTTACTAATGTTGTGGTTCCTTGTGAATGGCAATGAAGGTTATCAGAAAGTTATCTCACCTCTATACTCTTACAATCTGCTACTTTCCATATATAACAGACAGTGCTGTTGTTATGGAATACTGGCATTGGTTAACCAACGCATAGCTATGCTAATATGGATCTCAGTGTTTCATAGCACAAACACAACAAAAAGAGGTTCTGTACTTGATCTATCTCCCAACATTATTAATTTTTAAAAAATATATCTCATCAATTCCTCTGATAAGATAATTCAGATTTTCTACTTTTATTTTTATTTTTAATTTATTTTAGGTAAAGGCTAACAAAATAATAATATGAGAATTGGTAAATTTGTCTGAACTCATAAAGCTTTTGCTTTTGGGGATTTGTTTCTGATAGGATATCAAACAATTGCAACAAAAGGACGACTGCCACCTTTGCAGATGAACTCAGATCTCCTACTTCATATCAAATTTAATTTCCTTTTGGTTATTGGAAGCCTGGACACTAGATAGGAAGGCAGCAACACAAAATGCTCTGAAAAAAACATTCTTCTTTACTCACAATGATAAAGCAATTCCAGTTCCTCATTACAACTGCATGACCTTACCACCTTCGTTCCTAGCTCTGAATTATGATTACAACAATCACTTTGAAAATGGAGAACAGTGAATGGTTGCTGAACTTAAAACATTTCTCACAAAAATTGCAAAGCCTTGCCATCAATCAAACAGAAATAAAATGTGGCATGCTTGTACAGTATTTAAGTACTAGCTTGGGAACCAGGAGGGACCAGGAACTGCCATGTGTGCAAATGCAAGCTTACACAATGAATCACGGCTTACCTGCCCAGGATCACTCTTCCATGTCCCCAGTCCTACAAGAGGCATTTTTTGTCCAGTATGAAGCAAAACATAGTTGACCTCTGAAGGCATCTTTCCCTAAATAAAATATGATATTTGTCTTAAAAATTTAATATATTGAGCTGTACAAAAAAATCCACTATATCAGGTTTTGCAATTTTATTACGGAAATTTAACATTATTAGGCAATAATGTGCATTTCCATGTCAGTGAAGCCTTTATCTCCAGATCACAAGCAAGACATGTCAAACTTGAGTTTTAACCTGGTTAACCGGCAAACCATAGCATCAGAAAACAATTATGAAGTCTTAAGAAGTGACCTTCATTTATGGGATCATTATACATCTACTCTGCACGTTTGATCCATTCAAAAAAAAAAAAGGGGGGGGGGAGAGCTACCATTAAGGGAAAGTTTTTTCTTGCAGATCATTAAACAAAGTGCTGTAAACTAGAAAGGACTGAGCATCAAGGGAGTGAGCACTAAAACATACTATATCACAAGATGAAATCACCATGTACCTTGGCATTTTGTAAGAAAAAAAAAGCCATTACATATAAGTTAAGGAATTTGGATAAGTCTATACCTGAGCTGTTTATATAACTGCACAATTAACTGCCTCCTGACAAACTCTGGAAAATATATGTGGTTGTGCTAATGTTACCTTAGGTTGTGTCAAAGCAATTAAAGACTGTCTTTGCAGTAGAACTTATTGCATCACAAGCAGGATGGCGCAAAACCAGGTTATTTTTCTCAGATTGCTGTCTAATGTCCAAATCATATAGATTAAACCAACATTAAGTCATTTTCTCTATCCTCAACATTTGCCTGTAACTGAGAGAAAAGTCCAGAAGGCATATCAAGGAATACATTAGTTATCAAAGTGTTTGACAAGAAAGCTCCTACCAGGATTTTTTTGGCAGCTTCAGCATTAGGAAGAGTGTGAATAGCAATTATTTAATTCACTGTTTTGGAGTTGTAGTAGGTTTTTTCGGGCTATATGGCCATGTTCTAGAGGCATTCCCTCCTGACGTTTCACCTGCATCTATGGCAAGCATCCTCAGAGGTAGTGGGGTCTGTTGGAACTAGGAAAATGGGTTTATATATCTGTGGAATGACCAGGGTGGGACAAAGGACTCTTGTCTGCTGGAGCTATGTGTGAATGTTTCAACTGACCACCTTGATTAGCATTTGATGGCCTGGCAGTGCCTGGGGCAATCTTTTATTGAGAGGTGATTAGATGTCCTTGATTGTTACCTCTCTGTTGTTTTGTTGTTGTGATTTTAGATTTTTTTAATACTGGTAGCCAGATTTTGTACATTTCCTCCTTTCTGTTGAAATTATCCACATGCTTGTGGATTTCAATGGCTTCTCTGTGTAGTCTGACATGGTGGTTGATTCAAAATTATTCCATTTGGTTTTACTGGCTTATTTTATGCAGAAGAGCATGTTATCAAAGAGGAACATCCTGCAATGTGACCTAAAAGTTGCTCTGTTAGCTGAATTGCAAGAGGAAATAATGCTTAATGAGATTCCAGGCCCATCAGCTTCCTTAGTTTGCGCTGGGATAAGCTATAGAGCGGTTTCCTGCAGAACATTTATGTAAACACCATCTACACCACACAAGTAAAGTAGAAAGTGAAATACTCCTTTGCTTCTATTGTAAACTTTCTAATAAGGAAGCATTATTTCCTTGTCATTGTGAACAAGGAATGTGTTAATTTGCCTCCTTTATTTAAAATCTTCAAAATGTTATCTGATACATATTTTATAACCTTACCTCTCTTAAAGAAAGAAGACAAGTACCAAGACAGATGTGCAGCCTAGACCTAGCCACATCTATATAAATAAAATGTAATGTTCATTTGTGGGATTAGCATAACTCAAAAACCACTGAGCGAATTGACACCAAATTTGGACACAATACACCTATCAGGCCAACAAGTGACCATCACTCATAAAAACACTAAAAAACACAGTGGAAGATACTTTAAAAGCCAATTTTTTTTAAAAAAAATACATTACAATGCATGCCAAAATCACATATATACACAGATATAATAATAACAATAACAATAATAATCATCATCATAATAAACTTTATTTGTACTCCGCCACCATCTCCCCAATGGGGACTCGGGGCGGCTTATATACACACACATATACACATATAGACACACACAAAACACATATACATAGACTGGGCCACAGCAACGCATGACAGGGGTCAGCTAGTATAGCTATAAATCCCTTTCAAATTCTTCACTGGTGTGCTAAAATTTGAGCTCTTGCTCAAGGACATCATTTAACCTCTATTTTATAGCAATGCATTGCAGAGGGAAACTCAAGCCCCTTCCACACAGCTGAATCAAATCCCACATTTTCTGCTTTGAACTGGAATATATATGGCAGTGTGGACTCAGATAACCCAGTTCAAAGCAGATATTGTGGGATTTTCCGCCTTGTTATTCTGGGTTATATGGCTGTGTAGAAGGGCCCCGAGTTTCCCTCTGCAATACATTGCTATAAAATAGAAATAGGGTGGCAGAGTGAAATGGTAAACAGGATCATGTACTTTTAGTTTTCACCATTTGCAGAAATTCTCTTTTGCACTGAAAGAGCAGAAACGTGCCTGCTTTGAACTCCGGACACCACAAAATGTAACTTTTCAAGAAGACAACAAGAAGGAAAAAAAAGAGAAAACAAGTAAAAGTTACTCTTATAATAAAAACAAGAAAAACAAGTAAAAGTGACTATTATATAAGCATGCAAAACCCCATATAAAAAGCCATAATTAATACTCATATGATTCTCAGTTGTGTAACTCACCAGAGGATTCAGCCTAGCTATGCACTTTCTGATAAGATACACATTAATCTTGAATGGAACTTTAACCCAAGGCAAATTACCAGGCATAATCAGTAACTCGATCAGCAGATACCAACAGTCCACCCTCCTTCAGCTGATAGCGAAAGCCCAGTTCCCACTGGATAATGCATTATATATAATTAACCCTCCCCAGTACAATGCCTTTAAATTAAGAAAGTAAAGATGGCAATTTATTGTGAGTTCCATTCTTCTATTTAAAACTTTGGACTATATTATGCCATGTTAATTTGCTTTGATTTAGATATTTCCGGTAAAATTGTAATTTTCTATAGTGCACACACTGGTGGCATAGCGGGTTAAACTACTAAGTTGAAGAACTTGCTGACCAGAAGGTCGGCAGTTCGAATCTAAGGATGGGGTTAGCCCCAGCTCCTGCCAATCTAGCAGTTTGAAAACATGCAAAATTTTAGTAGAGCAATAGGTACCACTTCAGTAGGAAGGTAGCAGCACTCCATGCAGACATGCCAGCCACATGACCTTAGAGGTGTCTACAGACAACGCCAGCTCTTTGGCTTAGAAATGGAGATGAGCACCTGCCCCCCAGAGTCAGACTCAACTAGACTTAATGTCAAGGGGAAAGTTTTACCTTTATTATAGTGCGCACATAGCTTATGAATTCTATTATTACAGATCTTCAGTAAGAGAGATTTCTGAAGTATACATTATTATTTGTATCACTGTGACATTTAAATTGATTAAAGTTTCCATCACTCTCCTCAGATTAAACTTCCATCACTGTCCTAATCAACAATCTTTGGGGTTTTGAATACAGGAAAAAAAATCCCTGCGGAATCACCCAACTCCCCACAATTCACTGTATGGATTTAATCTTTTAACAAATAATTGGCATTTTGACAGGCCTTTTTTGCATGCAAATTAAGTTTATGGTTCCAATGAAGGAGCCTTACCCTATTTAAACATAAAGTTCAGTTAGCTCTCTGGCCAAGTTAACTTGTGAGTATGTGATAGTTCAACTTGGCAACCTTTGTATTCACTAATACATTTTCAGCTTAACACAAGTAAACTAAAGTTGAAGAGTTCCATAGTAATGCAATTATTAGTAGTACAATGTACTCATGCAAACTCCACACTCACACACTCATAATTTCCTATAACTGCAATCACATGAGAAATATATGAATGCCAGCAAACCAACAATTTTGCTCTTAAATAAGTGGTGTAGAATGTATATTCCCTTTATCTGTTATTTGGGAGGGGGGGGTGCAAGTTTTAAAGGCTATTGTAAGTGTATTTATTATATTTTAATCTTTCTAAACTTAATCCACACTGTATTATGTAACTGGGTTGCTGTAAGTTTTCCAGGCTGTACGGCCATGTTCCAGAAGCATTCTCTCCTGATGTTTCGCCCACATCGATGATGGTTGTTATGGTGGTGGTTATGTTTTACTGACATTTGTATTTGGATATATACATTGAACTTCTATGTGTTTAGATATTTTTGCATCCCTACAATTAGTGGATACTTTCTGGTTCCAAGGGAATCCATTTTCCATTTTAGTTGTTAGAGTGGTCCAGCATTTCTGTGTTCTCAAATAATATGCTGGTTCATCAAGTGCTCTGCTGTGGCTGATTTCTCTGGTTGGTGAACCAATCTGAACACAGAAATGCTGGACCACTCTAACAATCACCGTGTCTGACTACACAGAGAAGCCATTGAAATCTACAAGCATGTGAACAATTTCAACAGAAAGGAGAAAACCGTTAAAATGAACAAAATCTGGGCTACCAGTATTTAAAACGTTCTAGATTTAGGACAGTAAATAAAGAGAAACACTCAAAAAACAGGTGAATTCCAGACAGGAATCAATCAGGGCCAGCTAACACGACCCAAAATATTCTCCCAGGCAGGAAGCAGTCAGTCTTTGAAGCTGCAAGGCTATTCAATATTAATCAAGGTGGCCAATTGCAACATTCACACTTTCCTCAAGCAGATAGGAGTACTTTCTCCCACCCTGAATTTATTCCACAGATATATTAACTTCAGTTGTCTAGTTTCCAATAGACCTCACAACCTTGGAGGATGCCTGCCATATATTTGGGTAAAATGTCGGGAGAGAATGCTTCTGGAACATGGCCATACAGCCAGGAAAAATCGCAGCAACCCAATGATTCCGGGCATGAAAGCCTTTGGCAACATATTGTGTAATTGTTTTTTAATGTTTGTATTGTGCTTTTGAAATTATGAACCAAGTGTGAGATTGTTATCTGCCTTGAGTCCCCATTGGGAGAAAGACGGGGTATATAAATAAAGTAACAACAACAATAACAACAACACAAAACAGGTTTCTGTAGACTACTCTGTGGAGCTTGAAAACAAGTTTTAGTTTCAAAATTTAAAAAAGCAAAATAAACTCCAAATGTAGCATTGGAACCGGTTTTCCTCTCCAATGAGCTCATCACCCAACTACAAAATGCAAAAGTTCCCTTGCCGGTGTAAACCATGACAGCTAGCCATAAAAGTTGAGCATCTCTTATCCAAAATCCCACAAAGTCCATTAGTATGTCTGCATGGATGGTTGAAATAGAGACACCCTTGCTTTGGGGTGGTTTGAAAGCATACTCACAAAATGCAAACATATTGTATAATGCTATCTTCAGGGGATGTGCAAAAGAAACGAATTACTCTCGTGTTTAGACTTGGATCCCATTTCCAAGATGTCCCATTATGTACATGTAAGTATTCCAAAATCCCCCATTCACCCCCCAAAAAATCCCAAAATTCTTCTGTATGTCTGGAATATTAGTATGCAATTGTACTATTATTTTTTGTAGTACCTTCAGAGATAAAACTGAAAGAGCAAAGTTGGCAGTATAAGCTTTCTCAGACTAAGGGTGCATTTACATCTGGCCTGGGCAAACTTGGGCCCTGCAGGTGTTTTTGGACTTCAACTCCCATCATTCCTAACAGCCTCAGGCCCTTTTATTTTCCCCCTCAGCCGCTTAAGCGGCTGAGGGGGAAAATAAAGGGGCCTGAGGCTGTTAGGAATGATGGGAGTTGAAGTCCAAAACAACTAGAGGGCCCAAGTTTGCTCAGGCCTTATCTACACTGTAAAATCAATGGAGTTTAGCATCCCTTTAACTTCCATGGCTCAATAATAAAGAGACCCTGGAAGTAGTAGTTTTCTCTGCCAGAGAGAACCGGTCCCCCCTCCCAAAAAACTATAAATCCCATTATCCAATTGCACTGACCCATGTGAGTTAAAGTGGTGTCAGACTGCTACAGTGAGGATGCACCCTGAGCTTTCCTCCTGAGTCTCAGCCTGCTCATTCCAAGGCTCAGTATTAGGCATTACACTTGAGATTAAAGAAGATCCCCTCTTCCTGCCCACCAACTTTGAGAGAGTATGTATTACTACTATTCTTTGTTTGCAGAGGCAGGAGACGTGTCAAGGAGTGGCGCCGCTTCTCAAAGAGCCACAGGCCCGCCCTGATTCCGCACCAACCTGATTGACGCACCCCGAGTCCCACAAGGAAGTGATCTGCACGCGGGGAATCCGCAGCCGCTCTGAAACTTCCTTCCCCCCAAAGAGTTCAAAACAGAGTGGCGACGCTTCCAGCCCCGGACTTTTCACGTTTCCGCTTCCGGGTTTGAAATTTAACCATATTGTTGATTAAATCCTCAGCGCTCCACTTTTTTCCCCCCATCCCACGTGGTTTTGTGGAGAGAGTCAAGTGGAAAGAATTGGCTGTGTGTTTCTCCTGTTTTGCAAAAGGAAAAGGGTTTCCAAGGCCCAGCAGCAGAAATATCCAGGGAATCAAAAGGGGCCTTTAGTCAGGAATGGTTTGCAAACAAAGAAGACCCAAGGGCCTATCCAGAATCATAGAGTTGGAAGAGATCTCGTGGGCCATCCAGTCCAACCCCCTGCCATGAAGCAGGACAATCTCGTTCAAAGCACCCCCAACAGATGGCCATCCAGCCTCTGTTTAAAAGCCTCCATAGAAGGAGCTTCCACCACTATTTATTTATTTACCATATTTATATACCGCCATTCTCAGCCCGGAGGTGACTCAGGAAACAACATACAAACTATCTACAGAGCCACCAAGAATATCCAACAAATGCTACGTTCAGCAAAGGACAAGAGGGATCCTCTCACCTCTGCAGGAATCTAACATATACCATGCAGCTGTGGACAAGTCTACATAGGGACCACCAAACACAGCAGCATTTCCCAGACACGCATCAAGGAACATGAAAGGCACTGCAGACTACTTCAACCAGAGAAATCAGCCATAGCAGAGCACCTGATGAACCAACCTGGACACATCATATTATTTGAGAACACAGAAATGCTGGACTACACAGAGAAGCCATTGAAATCCACAAGCATGTGGACAATTTCAACAGAAAGGAGGAAACCATGAAAATGAACAAAATCTGGCTACCAGTATTTAAAAAAACTTTAAAATTAAAACAGCAAAACAGAGAGGAAACAATCTGGGACATCGAATCACCTCTCAACAAAAGATTGCCCCAGGCACTAACAAGCCACACCAAACAACAGCCAAGCCATCAAATGCTAATCAAGGTGGTCAGCTGAAACATTCACACCTAGCTCCAGCAGACAAGAGTCCTTTGTCCCACCCTGGTCATTCCACGGATATATAAACCCTTTTTCCTAGTTCCAACAGACCTCACTACCTCTAAGGATGCTTGCCATAGATGCAGGCGAAACGTCAGGAGAGAATGCCTCTAGAACATGGCCATATAGCCCGAAAAAAAACTACAACAACCCAGTGACTCAGGGCAGTTTACAAACAGCAAAATTCAATGCCACCAATAACATAAAATATAATTAAAACATTAACATATAATATAAATCATATAAAAACAATAAAACGCAAGTCCTCAACGTCTCATTACTAACATCATTTTCCAGTCACATTGTCTAATCATTCCATGGATCTAAAATAGCCTGTTACACTGCATCTGTAAATGTTTGCTCAAAAAGCCAGGTTTTGACTCTTTTGAAATGTTAGGAGGGAAGGGGCCGATCTAATAAACCTAGGGAGGGCGTTGCATAGCCAAGGGGCTACTGCTGAGAAGGCCTTGTCTCTCATTCCTGCCAGTCGCAGCTGCGAAGGGGGCGGGACAGAGAGCAGGGCTTCTCCAGACGATCTTAAGCGCCTAGATGGTTCATAGGGAGAGATGCATTCAGACAGGTAAGCTGGGCCGGAACTGTTTAGTGCTTTAAATGTTAAAGCCAGCACTTTAAATTGTGCCCGGTAGCAAACTGGCAGCCAGTGGAGTTGGCATAACAGAGGGGTTGTATGCCCACTGAGTGCCGCTCCTGTTAACAACCTGGCTGCTGCCTGTTGGACCATTTGAAGCTTCCGAGCGGTCTTCAAGGGCAGCCCCACATAGAGCACATTGCAGTATTCTATACGGGATGTAACAAGAGCATGGGCTACTATCTCCAGAGTACATCTACACTGTACACTGAATTGAACTATCACACCACTTGAACTATCAAAGCTCGTTGATATATGTGAAGTTGAAGTTTTGCCTGGTTCAGTGTTATGGAATCCTGAGAGCTATACATAATCTTTAGCTTTTTCTGCCAAAGAGTCTGGGGGCCCTTCCACACAGCCAAATAAAATCCCACATTATCTGCTTTGAACTGGAACTCAGCCCTGGGTGCTTCACCAAACTGCGAGCCCTTCCACAGTTCTATAACCCAGGATATCAAGGCAAGAAATCCCACAATATCTGCTTTGAACTGGATTATATGGCAGTGTGGACTCAGATAACCCAGTTCAAAGCCGATATTGTGGGATTTTTTGCCTTGATATCCTGGGTTATAGGGCTGGTTTGAACTGGGTTATCTGAGTCCACAGTGCCATATATTCAAGTTCAAAGCAGATAATGGGGTATTTTATTCAGCTGTATGGAAGGGGCCTAAGAGTACCGTAGTTTTGTTTTTTTAATTCCTGCCTCTATTGCTAAAAATGCATTTTAGCCATTCACTTACCTAAGATAAGTGTGCATGCAAAGGCCTCCTTACTATCTGGCTTTAATAAGCTACTCTCTTGCAGGCTTTCAGATTCACTGAATGTATTGACGCTATTTATAACTGAACATGCCTTTTATCCAGGTAATACCATGCCTTTATTTGATTAGTCCTCTACAGTCAGTTTCTGGAAGACATTAACTTCCTCCTGTGTTGACATAATGCTTGCATGAGAGGTTGGTGCTGTTTAACCCTAACCTGTTTATATCCTTACCAAGTTTATGTCAGGCAGCTATATAAAGAATGAATATAGAATGTCATACACTGAGAGCCCTATACAATAGGACAGTGGTTCTCAACCTGTGGGTCCCCAGGTGTTTTGGCTTACAACTCCCAGAAACCCCATCCAGTTTACCAGCTGTTAAGATTTCCGGGAGTTGAAGGCCAAAACATCTGGGGACCCACAGATTGAGAACCAGTGCAATAGGAGTTCATGACAGACCTAGGAAGGCATCTACACTATTTATTTATCATGTCAGAAGCAAATTGAGGGTACAGTTATCATGTATTTAAAAGAACACAAACAAAGTTTAAAACTTGGCATTATACTAGATTTCCTTTGACCAAAAACTGGCCACTTGGAGTGCATCTAGTGTTGCTGTGAGAGGGTCCTCCATTGTGCATGTGGCAGGGCTCAGGTTGCATTGCAGTAAATGGTCTGTGGTTTGCTCTTCTCCACACTCGCATGTCGTGGACTCCACTCTGTGTTCCCATTTCTTAAGATTAGCTTTGCGTCTCATGGTGCCAGAGCACAGTCTGCTCAACACCTTCCAAATTGCCTAGTCTTTTGGGTGCCCAGGAGGGAGTTTCTCATCTGGTATCAGCCATGGATTGAGGTTCAGAGTTTTAACTTGCCACTTTTGGACTCTCACTTGCTGATGTGTTCCTGCAAGTATCTCTGTGGAGCCTAGGAAGCTGTTTCTTGATTTAAGTCGTTAGCATGCTGACTGATCTCCAAACAGAAGATGAGCTAGAGATGTCAATGCCTTGGTCTTTTCATTACAGGCTGCTACTTCCAGACGAATGTTAAACAGTATAATTTCTTCAGTAGTGTAGGGTGTAGACACCCTGTGATAATGCAGCATATCACATTAAGAGCCATATCCACTGTTTTAGCGTGGTGAGATGTGTTCCACATTGAGCATGCATATTCAGAAGCAGAATAGCAAAACGCAAGGGCAGATGACTTCACTGTATCTGGTTGTGATCCCCAGGTTGTGCCAGTCACCTTTCCTATGATATTGCTTCTAGCACCCACTTTTTGCTTGGTATTCAGGCAGTGCTTCTTGTAGGTCAGAACATGGTCCAGGGTAACTCCCAGGTAATTGGGTGTGCTACAATGTTCCAGTGGGATTCCTTCCCAGATAATCCTCAGAGCTCGAGATGCTTGTCTGTTCTTAAAATGGAAAGCACACGTCTGTGTTTAAGATGGATTAGGAATCAGCTGGTTTCCCCTGTAATAGGCAGTAAGAGCACCTAAAGCATCTACATATCACTTTAACTACCCTTGCTCAATGTTTCTCTGCCTAACAATGCTGACACCTTCCCATATAACACCGCCCACAATTCCATAGCATTGAGCCATGGCAGTTAAAGGGATGTCAAACTGCATTAATTCTACAATATAGATGCACCCTGTTGTTCTTCTGCCACCAGACAAATATCTTTTTATTTAGAGAGACCTTTGGCATCTAACTAGAATTATTCTTGAGCATTGACTTTCTCATCATTAATGTATATTCAGTTGTAATTCAGCATATGTGTTCTGTCTGATTTAATTGTTATTAACTGCCTTGTGTGCCATTATTCGGCATAATGTTTTAAATATGACCTTTTAAAATAACACTGAAGGACTCTTCAATCTTATTAGAATATGAACTACACCTTGTAATAATTATAATGATGGGTGTAGTCCCCGTCTTTGAGTCTTCACTGTGCCACTCATAAATAATAAAAAATAAGTTGCAGAGTGGTAATTCTAGCAACAGAAAACATGAAGAGGGATTACTGGGTTCAGCTTTAACTACTTCCATCATTGCAGAGTGTTATTCTTACAGCAGAAAACATTAAGTGGGATTATTGGATCAAATAAACTTAATTTTTTTCCAATACTTTTTAGTTAATCAAAAGTTATCCAGACAGTGAGGTACAGTATAGTGATTTAGATGTTAGACTAGGATTCTGGAAACTGGAGTTGGAATCACCACTTGACTATGGACCCATCTACACTGCCATGTAAAATCCAGATTATTTGCTTTGAACTGGATTATATGGCAGTGCAGATTCAATCAATCCAGTTCAAAGCAGATAATCTGGATTATCTGATTTGATAATCTGGGTTATATTGCAGTATAGATCTAGACTATAGAAACTCACTAGTGACCTTGGATAAATCACATCTTCTCAGAAAATATTGCAAGAAACCCCTTTTATAAGTTGACTGCAGGGTCACCATGAATCAGAAATTACTTGAAGGCACACAACAAACAATTCAGAAATTACATCAATTGTAGTTGGTGTTTACTCCAATTTCTATCCATTTTTGGCAATAGCAGGTTAAAAGATGAGGCTGTAAACACCTGTCCCTTCTGATAAAACATGGACACCTTTACTTAGTTTACCTTCATCTCTCCTCCTAACCTTACTGTTTGTGTCCTGAAGTTTAGCCTCACTCTGCACCTTTATCTCGTAAAAATCAAAGCTAACACAACACAAAGCTAAGTAATAGATAAGATAATGAATCTGCAGAATGGGTTGTGTAACACCTGCCTACATAATTTACTTTCCCAGTAGGGATTTTACACATGGGAAGAAACAAAATTTGGAATACCATTCAAACACTCTTGAAGCAGTTTGCATCAAATGTGAGGAAAGGCACTACCTTCCATAACCGAACTAAGATGTTTTCCTGGCAAAGGAGAAAATGTCTTATTTAATTCCATCTCAGGGCCCTTCCACACAGCCATATAACCCAGAATATCAAGGCAGAAATTCACAATACCTGCTTTGAACTGGGATATCTGAATCAGAAAACAGAAAATGTGGGATTTTTATTCACCTGTGTGGAAGGGGCCTTAATTGTGGGTTGGCACAATATACATACGTACATATTAACATCTGTCTAGACTAATTGTCCCAGTATCCTGTATATAAATTCAACATGTGTCAGTAGATTCTGGAGTCATCTTTTACCAATAGGTTTGCTTGCACAGGATTTGCAGTTCTATCTGTGGCCTGGTGCCCAGTTCCTTTTCCTTATCTTTAATGAGGAGGACCATCGTGTCTCTTATCTGTTATCCTCTTGGCAGCGAGCCCCATTGAGCAAGGATGAGATAAAAGGACAGTTCCAGGTGTCATGCTTTCATGGATGAAAACGGTGATGAGTCCTCTCATCATACACAGACAATAAAGGGACAAGACAGAATATGGAAAATAATACTATTTGTTTGGCAAATTTCACTGCTACCCCTTTCCCTCAATCAACCAGAGTTAACTGAAAGGGACATGAAAACTTTCCAGCAAGCTTGAGAGCTAACATGTTCACCGTATATGTGTGTGTGTATACACACACATACATATATACCAGAATTCAAGCAACCAGCAAAAATAGAAATAATAATAATAATGGAACACAATACTCCCGACCTCACAATTGCAGGAAAAAAAAACTAGTATGGCTAGTAGATGTTGCAATCCCAGGTGACAGCAGAATTGATGAGAAGCAATTGGAAAAGCTTACACAACATGAGGATTTAAAGATCCAACTGCAAAGACTCTTATATGAGCCAGTAAAGGTGGTCCCAGCAGTGATCAGCACACTGGGTGTAGTGCCTAAAGACCTTGGCCTGCACTTGAAAACAATTGGCGCTGACAAAATTACCATCTGTCAGCTGTCCCACTCGGATCTGCACGCATTATTTGTCAATGCATGACACAGTCATAAACATCTGGGAAGTATCCGATGTATGATCAAATACAAAAGCTAGCATAGTGATCTTGTTTGCTGTGTACTAATCTTGTGTATCAAATAATAATAATAATAATAATAATAATAATAATAATAATAATAACCATTCATAATTCATTACATCCTCGCAGTGATTCATAACCATTCATAATTCATTACATCCTCACAGTGATGTTGACTGGCTCTATCTGCCTAGAAAGTCTGGGAGCAGAGGACTTTTACAAGTCAAACAAGTAGTTGAAGAAGAAAAACACGCCTTGGCAGAATATGTCAAGGAAAGTCAAGAACCTGCTTTAATTGAAGTCAATAATCGGAAACTTCTCAAAGCACAGCAAAGTACAAGAAAACTGCACTCCAAACCAGAGCTGACAGTTGGCACAACAAAGCCTTACATGGGCAGTTCCTTGAGAAGATTGAAGGAAAAGTTGACAAGGAGAAGACCTGGTTATGGCTCATGAATGGAACCCTGAAGAAGGAGACAGAAGGCCAGATTCTTGAAGCCCAGGAGCAAGCCATCAGAACCAATGCAATTAAGGCCAGGGTTGAAAAATCAGCAGATGACCCAAAATGCAGACTATGCAAGGAAGCTGATGAAACCATGGACCATATCCTCAAAATCGCACAAACGGACTACAAACAAAAACACAACTCTGTGGCCCAGATGATTCACTGGAACTTATGTCACAAGTACCACCTGCCAGCAGTAAAGAATTGGTGGGATCATAAACCCACAAACGTTGTGGAAAATGAATATGCAAAAATACTGTGGGACCTTCAAATCCAGACTGACAAAATTTTGGAACACAATACACCAGACATCATGATTGTGGAAAAGAAAAAAGTCTGGATTATTGATGTCACCATACCAGGTGAGAGTCGCATTGAGGAAAAACAACAGGAAAAACCCAGCCGCTATCAAGACCTCAAAATTTAACTGCAAAGGCTCTGGCATAAACCAGTACAGGTGGTCCCAGTGGTCATCGGCCCACTGGGTGCCATGCCAAAAGATCTCTGCCGGCATTTAGAAACAATAAACATCGAAAAAATCATGATCTGTCAACTGCAAAAGGCCACCTTACTTGGATCTGTGCGCATCATTCGAAAATACATCACACAGTCCTAGACGCTTGGGAAGTGTTCGACTTGTGATTTTGTGATACGAAATCCAGCATATAGATCTCGTTTGCTGTGACATACTCTGCTTTTGTGTCAATAATAATAATAATAATAATAATAATATAATTTAAATAAAAATTGGTTTTCATAAGGGTGTTGTTTCAATATATTAAGTCAATACAGAATTTATTGTATGGTGTACTATGGAGTATAGTATTAGTTAGCCTGTTTTTAAGAGCAACTTTAAAGCAAACAGAAAGTAAATTTACCTGCATCTACCAATCCCAATGGAGAGAGCCTACTGTATATATCAGGGGTCCACAAAATAAGGCCCGGGGGCAAGATACGGCCCTCCAAGGTCATTTACCTGGCCCTCGCTCAGGGTCAACCTAAATCTGAAACGACTTGAAAGCACACAAAAACAGCATCAACAACTAGTATTTCAATGGGCCCACACTTCCCATTGAAACACTAGCAAGTTTATATTTGTTAAAATTGTTCTTCATTTTAATTATTGTATTGTTTTAAAGTGTTTTTGCACTACAAATAAGATATGTGCAGTGTGCGTAGGAATTCATTAATGCTTTTTTCAAATTATAATCTGTCCCTCCAACAGTTTGAGGGACTGTGACTTGGCCCTCTGTTTAAAAAGTTTGAGGACCCGTGGTATATATATTTTGTATGATTCTTATCTATCCTCATTCATCATGACTTCTGCAGTTTACACTAAATAAAAAAAATAAATGTAGCAAAAGTAGTGGTCCCCACTCCTGTTTCCTCTTAAAATAAGAAACTACCACATCCTCATGACTTTGCTCTTTCAATACTGATTGAGATCAGTTGCAGAGCCATTTCAGTATAATGTTTATAACCGCATTCCCTGTTCCTTGGCAACAGCAAAGGGTTATAATTTGCAGCATTAATCATGCCGGTGTCTAACGGCAACCGCTACTGCAATTAAAAAAAGTGTTTCTATGTAGCTGCATCCACACCAGGATCAGGCAAACTTTGGCCCTCCAGGTGTTTTGGACTCCAACTCCCACAATTCTTAACAGCTGGTGGAGGCCAAAGTTTGCCCATGCCTGATCTACACTGTAGAATCAATGCACTTTGGCACCACATTAACTGCCGTCGCTTAAGGTTATGGAATCCTGGGAGTTGTGGTTTTACATGGTCTTTGCTGATGTTTCCATGTTCTTCACCAAACTAGAAATCACCCAAAAATTGCCCATGCCTGATCTACACTGTAGAATTAATGCAGTTTGGCACCATATTAACTATCATGTCTTAATATTATGGAATCCTGGGAGTTGTGGTTTTCCATGGTCTTTGCTGATGTTTGCATTTGCTTCCCCAAACTAGAAATCCCAACAAAATTTGCCCATGCCTTATCTACACTGTAGAATGAATGCAATGTGGCACCACATTAATCACCATGTCTTAATATTATGAAATCCTGGGAGTTGTGGTTTTACATGGTCTTTGCTGATGTTTGCTTGTGCTTCACCAAACTAGAAATCCCAACAAAAATTGCCCATGCCTGATCTACACTGTAGAATTAATGCAGTTTGGCACCATATCAACCGCCATGGCTTAAGATGATGGAATCCTGGGAGTTGTGGTTTTACATGGTCTTTGCTGATGTTTGCTTGTGCTTCACCAAACTAGAAATCCCAGGACTCCATAGCATCAAGCTACATTAATTCCACATTATAGATGGGCTTGACCATTCACTCATTCATTGATCACTTGTAACATCCCATTGGTTCCCAGCTTATACCTTTTGGACTTCAACTCCCAGTATCCCACATCATTGGCCTTGTTGGCAAAAGCTTCTGGGAGTTGAAGTACAAAGGCTGAGAAAGCCTCACCCAGTCCCATCCTCGCTAATGAGCCAAAGTGTCTGCCTAAAGTGCAAAGTCATGCTGGCGCTGCAGCTCTAAGGATCCGGGAAGGAGGGGGCGGGGCCAACGCGCGGCTTCTTCTTCTTCTACTACTTTTCCCCGGCGCGAGGCCTTCTCGCGAGATTCTCCAGACTATAAAAGGGAAGGTGAATCCTGCCACAAGGAGTGCTTTGTCTGGATTCTGCTCCTCGCAGGTGGTTCCAAGTCTGTCGCTGAGATTCTAGGTAAATAGATGTGCAATTAGGGATGCCATGGAATTCGTTTGCATGTTTTGGGGCGGGTGCGGGTCATATTGAAGCAAAAGCATGCTTCTGTAATAGTTTTATTTAGTAATTTCACAAATTTTACTCTTTTTTTTTTTGGAGCAAAGAAGAGATAGGCGCATTTCAGTTCTCTGTATTTGATGCTTCACCAACTACTTAATCACACTAGAGAATGAATCCACTTTTAATCCGGTTTCTGCCTCCTGCAGAATTCTGGGGTTTGTAGTTTAGTGAGGCTATTAAAGACCCCTCCCTAAACTACAAACCCCAGCATTCTGCAGGAGGCAGAAACCGGATTTAACGTGGATTCATTCTCTAGTGTGATGAGGTGCCAAGTAGAGTGGAAGAAACTGAATAATAATACAAGCAATTAGGGAAATAGTTGTCATTACTGTTACTATTTTCCTGCTATTGCTCCAAAATTGGGACCTAATCCCCTGATATTTCCATGCAACTTATGTGTTTGCCTTTGGTCATCTTTAAGTGTTTTCTTTTCTGCTTCTTTTGAGACGAACCAGATCAAAGCAATTCAAAAGCTTACAGGGTGCATCAAAACTGTAAAACTAATGTAGTTTGACACCATTTCAACTCCCATGGCTCAGTGCTGTGGGATTTTGGGAGTTGGAGTTTTCACTTGAGGGTCCTTGTGGACAACAAGTTAAACATGAGCCAAAAATGTGATGCGGCTGCAAAAAAAAGCCAATGGGATTTTGGCCTGCATCAATAGGCGCATAGTGTCTAGATCCAGGGAAGTCATGCTCCCCCTCTATTCTGCCTATTGGAATATTATGTCCAATTCTGGGCACCACAATTGCAGAGAGATGTTGATAAGCTGGAATGTGTCCCGAGGAGGGCAACTAAAATGATCAAGGGTCTGGAGAACAAGCCCTACGAGGAGCGGCTTAAGGAGCTGGGCATGTTTAGCCTGAGGAAGAGAAGGCTGGGAGGAGACATGATAGCCATGTATAAATATGTGAGAAGAAGTCACAGGGAGGAGGGAGCAACCTTGTTTTCTGCTGCCCTGGAGACTAGGACTCTGAATAATGGCTTCAAACTACAAGAAAGGACATTCCACTAAACATTAGGAAGAACTTCCTGACTGTGAGAGCCGTTCAGCAGTGGAACTCTCTGCCCCAGAGTGTGGTGAAGGCTCCTTCTTTGGAAGCTTTTAAACAGAGGCTGAATGGCCATCTGTCGGGGGTGCTTTGAATGCAGTTTCCCTTCTTGGCAGGGGGTTGGACTGGATGGCCCATGAGGTCTCTTCCAACTCTATGATTTTATGATTCTAGGGTCATCAACCTTCCATAATACTACAACTCCCAACATTCCATAGCCTTGAACCAAGACGGTTGAAGTGGTGTCAAACTGCATTAATTCAGGGTTGTTGTCAGTTTGCTGGACTGTAAGGCTATGCTCAGAAGCACTCTTTCCTGACGTTTGCCTGCATTAACTCTACTTTAGGGATTGAGGCTATTGAATTAAGACACACCTCAAAAGGTTACATTTTTTTTTTGGCATGGTTTTTTGCTGGATTTAAAGCAGCTAGAACAGGCTTGGGAAAAATTGGGTCCTCCAGGTGTTTTGGACTTCAACTCCCACCATTCCTAACAGCCTCAGGCCCTTTCCTTTTCCCCTTAAGTGGCTGAAGGGGGGAAAGAAAAGAACCTGAGGCTGTTAGGAATGGTGGGAGCTGAAATCCAAAACACCTGGAAGGCCCAAGTTTGCCCAGGCCTGAGCTAGAAAGCTCAGTGATGTATTGAAATCACTGTGATTTCAGAAAAGTGCATTTTTTTGCTGAAAGAGAAGCCGAACCGTTAAAAGCAGAGATGGATAATCTGAGGTTTCTAAGGATCCGCCTTCTGGATTTAGCACTGTGGATTCCTCTGGGTGGTAATTTTGCTCTAAGGATGAATTGAATGAGTTATTAATGACAAAGCAACGTGATCGTGTTCTTACAAAAAGGTTGCTATGGGATATGCTGAGACTCTGGGAACTGACATGTTGCAAAATCCGTGAGCAGGTTGAGATGGAGATTTATTGAACAAGCTTCCTCCTCAGAGTTTCAATTTCACATCATTGCGTAATGGAAAACTAAAGCTGAGATACTTCCGAGTAGATGTGCGTCCATTATACTGAATTGACCCAACACAACAGTTAGTCTCGAAATTGTTGTCCCTGGATTTAGGTTGGCTTTTTTATAGCAGGCATGGGCAAACTTGGGCCCTCTCTCCAGGTGTTTTGGACTTGAACTCCCACAATTCCTGGCCTCAGGCCCCTTCCTTTTCCCCCTCAGCCGCTTAATTTGGCCTGGCCATAAGTTTTTAAATGCTTGTATGTTATTGTTTATTGTTTATTTTTGTTTTGAGATTTATTTTACTGTTTTGTATTGATTATTTTGTTCTTGCCTTCGTTTTATTGATGTACTGTGGGCTTGGCCTCTTGTAAGCCGCACAGAGTCCCTTGGGGAGATGGTAGCGGGGTACAAATAAAGTTTTATTATTATAATATTATTATTATTAAATATACACATTAAAATTGGAAGCGAAGAATAAAAATGCAATTCTTTGAAGTGCGATTTAATTCAATAACCTCAATCCCTGGGTGTTTACAGCGTAGAATTAATGCAGTTTGACACCACTTAAACTGCCATGGCTTGAGGCTATGGAATCCTAGGAGTTGTAGTTTGGTGTGGCCCCAGCACTCTCTGGCATGAAAGGCTAATGGTCCTATAAAACCCCCAATTCTCAGGATCTCGTAGCATTGAGACTTAGCAATCTTTGGTTTGGGGATCTCCAAGTAGATCAGTGGTTCTCAACCTGTGTGCCCCCAGATGTTTTGGCCTTCAACTCCCAGAAATCCTAACAGCTGGTAAACTGGCTTGGATTTCTGAGAGTTGTAGGCCAAAACACCTGGGGACCCACAGGTTGAGAACCACTGATCTAAAGCAACACTTAGCTGGAGTATGTAATGTATGGGAAATTCCAAGCTATGAATGGCAGTTTCTTTTTGTTTTTAAAGAAGTAGTTTTAGGAGGAGAGCCAAATATTGCACCAGTGCTGTAGCTCATAAAGGATAAAACACAGCTTGCTTGTTCCTTCTGTACTACTGACAGAAGTTTGTATAATATTCAGCAAAAGCATGCATGGAAAATTCAGTGTTGCTTAACATCCACCTCTTGAGTAAAGTGGATCTGGGATTAAGCCAGTGATATTTACATATATAGTTATGCATAGTTAAAATTTGCCTAAAGGCTGAAGTAGTCATTCTATTTAAAATAATTTAAATACATTATTTAAAAATGTGTCTCAAATAGTATTTCAGATTGCGGCCATGAAATCAACATAGGTTAAATATATGCAAACTTTCAGCTGCAGACCATTTAGGTACTCTTGAATATTAAATAACCTTTTCAATGCCAGCAGAATTTTCTGGGTTGGGCTGGGCGAGGTAATCATAAAGTGGCAGAGCTTAACAAGTTGCAACTTTCTTTAGTTTCTATCAAGATGTCGTCAGGAAAGGCTTACATTGGGAAACCAGCTCCAGACTTCAAGGCTACCGCGGTGATGCCTGATGGGCAGTTCAAAGACATCAAACTCTCTGACTTCAAAGGTAAGTCAAATGAAACATGCTGGTTTTGTGGAGTAAAACGGAGGGAACGACAACAGAAAAATATTAGACATGTGTAATGTGTTTATAGTCCAATTTCTCTCCTCTTGGACTATGTACAGGATCTGTATATTATTCTGTGCTCAAGATGATAAAACAGATCTGCAACTATAATCGCTAGTGGGCAGTACTAGAGTGCTTGTTGTACACCTTTAGCAAAGTCAGAAATTGGGAAGTTCCTTTTTTATATAAGCTTCCAATAATTCCCAATTAGGATGGTCACTTGCCATGGGGTTTGGGAAATGAGATCCTCCAAAACCTTTCCAAGCTCTGAAGTGCAACGTAGTCCAAGTTGTGAGCAATACTAGCTGAATGTTAATCAGATCAAGATAGTTAATTTCTATAAAGTTGACAATCTACTATATTATTGAAAACTAATCTCTAAATATTATTGTTCCATCTTAATGTCAGATCTGAAGTGCAATGTAGTCAAAGTTGCGAGTAATACTAGCCGAGTATTCCAGGCTGTATGGCCATGTTCCAGAAACATTATCTTCTGACATTTTGCCCACATCTATGGCAAGCATCCTCGGAGATTGTGAGGTCTGTTGGAAACTAGACCAGTGAGAAACAGACCTCACAACCTCTGAGGATGCCTGCCATAGACGTGGACAACACCTCAGGAGAGAATGCTTTGGAACATCCCATACAGCCTGGAAAACTCTGGCCATGAAAGCCTTTGACAACGCAGTAAACATAATGTTTAATGCAAAAGAACCTTAGATTTGGAAGAGACCAGAAAATCCAGCTTGTCATACAGGAATTCACATCTTAAAGTTGTCCCAAAAAATTAAACTCTCTCTTTTTGTTTCCTCTCAGGGAAATACGTTGTGTTCTTTTTCTATCCACTTGACTTCACCTTTGTGTGCCCAACTGAAATCGTTGCATTCAGTGAAAGGTCTGACGATTTCAGGAAGATCAACTGTGAAGTAATCGGCGCTTCTGTTGATTCTCATTTCTGCCATCTTGCCTGGTAAGGACTCTTGGGATGCATATAATGATGGGCCATAGATAGGCAAGCAGTAACCAACAAAATCACTTAGCTGTCTCATTTCTTTTCATAGTAGCACATAAGATAGTTGTCCAGGGATTTTTTACTTGGGTTACTGTAGCCAACTTCTTTCTCTTTGGACCTTACTAACTGCCACACTTGAAAGCATAAGGGCTAAGGTTGAATTAGTATGCTGTGCCAGGTTTCACTTCAACTTGTACATTCAATTTTAAATTGTGGATCATAAAGCTCTTCCTGGTTATTAAAAGAAAAGATATTAAAAGAACAGTATGGGACCACTTGGAATTTGTCCCTTTACCTCTCTAGACTTGTTAATGGAAACTAGAGAGTAGCCTTGAGCCACTTCTGCAATGGATAGTACAGTTTTATCATTACTGTTACAGAATGCTTGGGACCTAAAGTATTTGGTATTTCAGATTTTTTGATTTTGTAGTACCATTATTTGCACCTGCATATATGTCTCTGTCTGTTCACCAATCTTCAGTCGCTCTAGCCTTACATCTTGTTTGAGACATGAGGCTAGACAGGGATTGAGGACCTGTGGAATGGTAGGAGGTGAGCATTCGCAGCCAAGCACTACGTTTCAATTTCTGCCATTTCACAGATCTTTGGTCTCTCCAGCCTTGTGTGGCTCAACCTGTGTCTGCATGTTATTAATGTAGGAAAATGTTGTTCCTTGATACGATTGTGCTGCAGTTGAAACAGTGGGACAAAGATATTTCAAAATATTTCGGTGACTTCTACTTGGAGTCTGAAAATGCGGGGTTCTTTCTTGAAATGCATATTTTTGTTATAGGGTCAACACACCTAAGAAGCAGGGTGGATTAGGCACTATGCGCATTCCTTTGGTGTCTGACACAAACCGTACAATTTCTAAAGAGTATGGGGTGCTAAAAGAAGATGAAGGCATTTCTTACAGGTAAGACTACTGGTGAATTTTTGAGAAGCAGCTTGTAATGAATAACAAGGGAATAAAAGTTGATTCTCCATGAATGAAGGCCTTGGTGAAATTAGGGAGCAATTCTTTTAACTGGTTTGGGACATGAGCAGGAATGTCTTTTTTTTCAGTTCCTTTACAATCTCTTGTTTCAAAAGTGTTGCAAATTACAATTGGCTTGTATTTCTCAAAGTTTCCCAGTTAACTTCTGCCATTCTCTTCCTTCCACAAGGAGGCAGTGCTTCCATCCATATCTTACGCCTTAGCAAGGAGAGGGAATGTGTGGGCATGCTAGATTAATTTGTGCCTGGCATCTTACCAAAGCTGATATTAATATTTGGGTTGAAATAGATACATTCGTGATTTCAGGTAAACATGGCATTGAAACAATAAATTACTCACTAAAGGTGTGCATTATCCAAAGTCTCTTCTGACTCTTACACAAGATGGAATCTGTTTTAAACTTAATTTTCTGTGTTCCGTGTGTTGCTGAACAAAAGACCTTTGTTACTCGCCTTACATGTGCTGAGATGCTTGGGATTTTTTTTCTTGGTACCACTAGAAAAACTTGTTGAGCCAGTATGGTGCAATGACAAAGAAGCTGAACTTTGGATCAGGAAGTCCTTGTGTGAATCTCCCCTCTGCCATTACGTTGCTAGTTCGCCTTGAATGAGCCACTTTGTCAGCTAAATACGTTTGCAAAATATGGCAGATCATACAAACAGATTTGATGCACCCTGTTTAATTAAATAATTCACTTCAAGCAATTTGAACATGTGGAAGTACATCGTAAAAATGTTTAATATGGTAAACTTTTCAAAAATGTGTAAATGATTCTGCAAATAATGGTCAAATGCAATCTAAGACTTTAGATCAGTGGTTCTCAACCTGTGGGTCCCCAGATGTTTTGGCCTTCAACTTCCAGAAACCCTAACAGCTGGTAAAGTGGCTGGGATTTCTGGGAGTTGTGGGCCAAAACACCTGGGGATTCACAGGTTGAGAACAGCTGCTTCAGATGGTGAAAAATAAAAATTAAACTGGTATGTTGTGCTGAATTCTGCTGAGAAGCTTGCTTTCTAGCCAGATACCTTAAAAATTGTTTTTTGGGGACCAAATGGGTGGCGCATGATTTTTGGGGAGCAAAGATTTTGCAATATGTCAGCTGTTGATATGCTGAAATTAAAAGCTTATGGAAGCAAATAAGAGACAAAGACATACTTGCAATTGTGTTCACTTCCACTTGAAGTTTTTTTCTGCTTTCTATTCCACATTCTTACATTAAATGCCAAGTGTGTTGGAAAATTTACTTTTTGCACCAGTTGAAGCTTCACCTCTGTCCTTCCAAATGTTGTAAGTAAGCTATAAATATTTAAACCAAAACAGTGTAGGATATGAGTTGTAAAGAAGCTTTATATTGCTTATGCTCCTTCAGGCTGTAGTCTGTAATTTTTTTCTAGTAAAAAATGCAAGTGCATAAGTCTGACTGTTTGTTTGTAACTTGTGCTATTTCTGTTTAAGGGGCCTCTTTATAATTGACGAGAAGGGGATTTTGCGCCAGATTACAATCAACGATCTGCCTGTTGGTCGCTCTGTTGATGAAACACTCCGGCTAGTTCAAGCTTTTCAGTTTACAGACAAACATGGAGAAGGTAAAATTTTCATGATTTGTGCTTATCTGACTTTTTAAAGAGAAACTTTCTCAAGGAAAAGGAAGTTTTAAATTTTAACAATAGAATTGTGGCATCCTTTGTCTACACAGTAGTATACAATTGTTAAAAATGCTGAGATGGAAGAACTGTAGACTAAAAGCAATGCCAGGTATCATCATTGTTAGTTTCTATGGGACAAAGATGAGATCAAATAGCATGCCAAATAGCAATGCAACAGTACTTCTTCCACCAGATTGATTTGAGAGTCATTGGAGGAAAGAAGCCAAATGCATTCCAACAGCATCCTTGTAATTTGAAATATGTGATTGCATTCTTCTAAATATGTGGCTGCTGTTCATTTACATTCAAAAAAAGAGTGTTGCATTCAGGCTTTCTTGGCGCATCCGACATAGCTGTATATTGTGCCTTCTCAAGCCTGCCTGCATTATAAGGTTTTTGTTTTTTCTCCCTTCCTCATTCTCAGTGTCAGGAATTTGACGAGTAGTACATAGAAATAAATCAAAGATGAGCAAAGCATGTATATTACCATTTCCTATGCTGGTAAGACTCATGACAGCTCTAGGCCAGTGTCATTTTGGTCATATTTACACATTCCTGGACTAAATTCAACTTCATGTTGAATTTAGGAGTAACAGAGCCCAACAACAAAAAAAGTTGGTCTTGGTTTTTAGGGCTGTTCTTGGAATTATTTGGGATGCTGATTGAGAACATTACATCAGCTCTAGTTTCTTTGATATGGTTATCATGATTTCTTAGGCGTGAGCAGATGAAGACTGGTATTATCTATACCTCAACTAAAAGCAAATAGGGGGAAAGTGGTTCCATTTTTGGAATCTGCAGGTCAAATATATCCAGAAACAGGCCTGACATTTGAGGCATGTTGACCATTGTAATCAAATTTGCCACAAATGTGGAAGTCTTGTGGTATTTTGGTTTTGCCTATTTTCTTGCTTCCCTGTCTCCTCTTTTTGAAGTAATCTAAGTGCAAGAAGAGGTGGGTATACTGAAATAATATCAGGCCAACTAATGTTTTCCTAGCTATAATCAAACAGATAACATAATTGTCTACAGATCCAAGACATCTTGTAGAAAATATTTTTTCACATGCTGTTTTTTAACCTGCACCTCTTAGTAACTAAAATGTAATGTTATCTCTGCAGTGTGTCCTGCTGGCTGGCAACCTGGTGCTGACACAATCAAGCCTGATGTCATGCAGAGCAAAGAGTACTTCTCCAAGCATAAATAGTGTACGTCGTGTTTTGTATGATAAATCTTTTCTGTAACAAGACCAAAACCAGAATTGTATTTACCCTTCTCTTATTTAAAGAGTTTGCTATATTGTGAGCTAATTGGCTTATGAGTGCTATTCATAAACCATTTATTCTAGAACAGTCCAGTTGACTCTACAAGGGTGGTTTCTGGAGTAGATGGATTATGGGTTTGAAGCCTGTTAGCGATAGTTATAAATGTTAATCAATTATACGTCCTAACCATCTCAACCAGGGTAAAGTACTACTTGTGCTCATGTGAGTAACTATGGACCAGTATCATTTAAATGACTGGCTCAGTCACGTGCGTAGAACAAATGTTCTTCTGTTTTGTACTGTCATTAAATTTGTGCAAAAAAAAGAAGTTTGTGTTAAAGTCATTGAGTGTTCTCAAACTGAAAAGCAGATGCAACAGCCCTTCTGAAATTACACTAGTAATAAAGTATTCATTTTGTATGACAACTTCTTGGAGAGGGAGGGGTAGAGAATGTCTTTTCAGACCAGAAATTATGGCTTCCGTATCAGAATATTGGCAGGTAAAGAACTATAGAAGCATTATGTCCATTACTACCTTGTGTTTTAAAACAACAGCAAATGCGAACAGAAACCAGCATTTCCTTGTCAAGAAGAGATGGGGAAAGTGCATAGGATAATTGTTGACCAGTTCAGAATCAGAAAAGGCGTTACCAACCAATTAATTGAGCCCATAGTGTGTCACTGCCATGACTATTAAGAATCCATTCCTGGTAAAATTAATTGCACTGCTACCCTTGAACATTATAAGAGCATCAGATATCTTGAGATTAAATTTATTAGTAATTTATCATTCTTAAAAGTAGTAGAGGTTGCTGGACAAAAGCCTGAGTTAAATTTGGTTGTAGTGATCTTGAGTATGTGATTTTCATAAACATACAACAGTATGTGCTAAATGTTGAAAACCGCTTTCAGGACTCTTTATTTCAAGAGATATTTTTAATACGATCTGAGGAGAACACACATTCTTTGCACAAAAATTAGGCACCTAAAACTGTTAGATAGGAGCATTTGCTAGCTCTTAAAAGCTATTTGAAGTAAAGAGGAATGCCACTAATACAAAGAGGTACGATTGGCCATCTGTATCCATGGCTTGGAAATAATCCAAAAAGCAGATCATAATGCTATTTTATATAAAGGACACCATTTTACTACACCATTGTACATACAGGCAGTCCCCAAGCTATGAACAAGATAGGTGCTATAGGTTTGTTCGTGTTGAATTTGTGTGTAAGTCAGAATAGATACATTTTTAAGTGTAACTCCAGCCAAAAATGTATATATAAGCTTTGGGTAGCATAGGGAATGGTTAACACCCCTGTGGTGTTTGTTTTGTTGTCTGTTTAGAAGATTTAACTTGGCTTTCTTTCCCTGAGATAATTGGATTTTGAAACATTTGGCTTGTAGAAACAAGAATTGGTGAGAGAGCTTCCATGATAGCTCTTGTAGGAGTGAATTTCCCTTTCAAGGAGTAGGTTTTTCTCACTTCCTGCTGTCTCACTCCCATTTGTAATTATGAGTCATTTGTAAGTTGGATGTTTGTAACTCCAGGACTGCCTGTGTAATGAGAATTGAGCATCTATGGGGAGTGGAAATGTGGGAGCGGGCCCAAACACCAATGGAGACCAAGGGCCCACTGTATCTCATTTACAATGCTATGCTTCTGCTACCACAAGGTGTCAGTATGTTATCTTAAAAACTGGTATTGTCACAAGAAGGTTGCTGTTGGAAGCCAGTCTTTTTGTTTAATTAAAATGTCATATCCTTGGTCCCTGTAAAACAATCTGAGCATCGAGAGTCAGGCATACATTCTGAATTGAAATAGAAATAACTTTCCATATACATGCTCAATAATTTTGCTTCAGGGCAAACATTTCACTAAACTTAGAATACGTATCAGTTTTTAGTTTGGGTTGTCATGACATAGAAGCTACCTTAGCTGCCCAAGAAATGTTCCCTGTACCCTAAATGGCTTTAATTTTTATAAACTCCAACTCTTGACGAGTTGCAGAGAAATGTAAGAAGGTTCGGTTGCTGTGAGTTTTCTGGGTTATAAGGCCATCTTCCTGAAGCATTCTCTCCTGATGTTTCACCCATATCTATGGCAGGCATCCTCAGAGATTGTGAGGTCTGTTGAAAACTAAGCAAGTTAATGTCCAGGGTGGGAAAAAGAACTCTTTGTCTGCTGGAGGCAAGTGTGAATGTTGCAATTGGCCACTTTGATTAGCATTTAATGGCCTTGCAGCTTCAAAGCCTGACCGCTTCCTGCCTGGGAAATCCTTTTTTGAGAGGTGTTAGCTGACCCTGATTGTTTCCTGTCTGGAATTCCCCCCCCCCCTTTTTTAGTGTTGCTTTTTATTTATTGTCCTGATTTTAGAATGTTTAAATACAGGTAGCCAGATTTTGTTCATTTTCATGGTTTCCTCCTTTCTATTGAAATTGTCCACATGATTGTGGATTTCAGTGGCTTGTAAGAAGGTTGCACTTGCTTGGGAAAACCTATTTTTTTCCAAATACAATGTGCGACATTAGTTGTGTTTCCTGATGGGAAAGGAAAGACTACATTTAGCATTCCAAGGTGCCACTTCAACAGATTAAAGATGGAGAACTAGATTTATTTGTGAATATGAAAGCACACACTTTGCTTTGGGCTCTTCCTGAAAGGATTCAGAACATAATCCCACTATTTCCCCTCTATGATAACTGTTGTGCTTTTGTGGGAGGCTCTGACAAAAAGTTTTTTCTGTCATGTTGTGAAAGGTGGTGCCTTGTAAATAAAACATGCTCTTAGGAACATGATAGCTGTAGGTTGTATTACACCAGTAAGTCAAACTGAATGCATGGTGTACATGACAATTCGAGCAATTAATACCATCCTAATTTTTCTAATTTTTTTCATCTCTGTTTTTAAAAAAGGCTGTAAACTGCAAAACACATCAGACCATTTATAACTTCAAGACACTCTCTATCACTACAGACTTTAAAATGGTACCTTTGGAGAAATACAACTTCTGCAAAGAATAGCCGACCTCGTATCTCAAAAAAACTCAGGCCAGCAATGTATAATATACTGTATAAATATACTAAGTTTAACTTTTTTGTGAAAAGATTTTATTGCCTTATCACAACAAGCTCTGCAAGTGTAGCCAGAAGGTCTTCCGCATCCACAATACGTTAAGTCACTCATGTTCCATGAGCTGAAAAAATGCATCCAACAAAGACAATAGTGCAGGCATGGGCAAACTACGGCCCTCCAGGTGTTTTGGGCTTCAACTCCCACAATAGCTAACAGCCTCAGTCTGACATGGTGGTTGTGAGAGTGGTCCAGCATTTCTGTGTTCTCAAATAATATACTGTGTCCAGGTTGGTTCATCAGGTGCTCTACTATGGCTGACTTCTCTAGTTGAAGTAGTCTGCAGTGCCTTTCATGTTCCTTGATTCGTGTTTGGGCGCTGCGTTTGGTGGCCCCTATGTAGACTTGTCCACAGCTGCATGGAACACTCTCACAACCACCATGTCAGACTACACAGAGAAGCCACTGAAATCCACAAGCATGTGGACAATTTCAACAGAAAGGAAGAAACCATGAAAATGAACAAAATCTGGCTTCCAGTATTAAAAAATTCAGAAATTACAACAGCAAAACAACAGAGAGTAAACAATCAAGCACATCAAATCACCTCTCAACAAAAGATTCCCCCAGGCACTTCCAAGCCATTAAATGCTAATCAAGGTGGTCAGTTGAAACATTCACACCTAGCTCCAGTAGGCAACAGTTCTTTGTCCCACCCTGATCATTCCACAGATATAAACCCTTTTTCCTAGTTCCAACAGACCTCACTACCTCTGAGGATGCTTGCCATAGATGCAGGCGAAATGTCAGGAGAAAATGCCTCTAGACCATGGCCATATAGCCCAAAAAAACCTACAACAACCCACTAATGGTTATGTCTTATATTTGTAAAGCCTCTTATACACAAAGATATTATGAGAAGAACACAGAACACATACATTTCAGAAATTTTATTTCCATTATTTTCCCCAGGATACAGTTTTACTATATTTTATAATTTTAATTATCTGGTATAATTGGTACAGAATAGTTTTCTTTCTTGATTAACTCAAAATATAATTGCTTACTCCAGCTTCATCCTAAACCTCCCTGAAATGTGCAAGTTTAGCATATCTGTATCCCATCCCATCATCTCCATTGTCCTAAACTTCAGATGTTCTTTGCATACAACAAAACAAATGTCAGAGTCTTCAAGCTCAGTTAGTGTACAAAGCATTGAGTTCCAGGTTTCAGGCCAAAGTTAGCCTTCTTTGATGACTTAGTCGCCCTCCTACTGATCCCATACTTCCACCTGTTTAAAAACGTTTCTGCAAAGCGTCAGCCTGCAGTGACTAAAATATTTTAGTTTACACCACATGCTTCATTAAGTGAAAAAAAGCAAGAAAAGCAAATGGAAGTGGGAATTAAAACTAGCTTTCCAACAGGAGAGAGGACTGTAACACCTGAATGTTCTTACAGAAGGCAAGGTGGTTACTTGAGCCAAACCTCAACAGAAAAAAAACCCAAAAGCCCTAAAAAGATGTCAGAATTTGAGATAAATTGCACCCTTGCTTTTGTGGAACAGAATGAATTAATTTGTGTATAATTACCAAATTATTAAAAATGTGGGGATAGCTCTCATCAAAGATTCTGGTTATACTTTCCAATTATAAACACCCAAAGTCAAAAGGTTGTGCTATACTCTGCTATCAAAGACGTATCTAGACGGTCCATCTTTTTCTAAGCACAGAATTAGGATATTCTGTTTCCTTTACTTGCTGAAAAGGGAACCATCATGCTTCTTCTCTGCTGGTGAATTTTTATTTTATTCTTTTACATTTCCTTGCATAATTGAGTTTTAAAAAGTATGTGTATGTGTAAATGTTTGTTTATGGGTTTATTTTACTAGGTTTCACCTGCATGGAGCTTCTTCGAGTAGCTCTGAGAGAGGTGAAATGGATGGTCTGTACTGAGCAAATTTAAAAAACAATCTTATCTGCTAGGTTCTCCATGCTGTGAATATTGGCGGACTATATAATGAGTGTTATGTTCCCCTTGCTCTTTTCTTCATGCTTGTGCTTGGGAAGGCTTTTCTCTATGTCCAGTGGAGCTTCAGTTGTTGTCATCGTTTGAGCACTTACTGTGCTATTCGCCTGTGAATAGAACAACAGGTTCTAATATACAGATAGAGTCAGGGTGTTCAAAAAGGCTGAAACTGAGATTGGAGAGCAAAATATTTACACTGGAATCTGGAACCAACTGTATGTATCAAGGTAAGGAAAAGGGGATGCAGAGCTTTCAACACAACCAAAGTCCATGCAGTAACTCCAAGAAGCAGACATATTTGCCTTCATTCTAAGTGTGATGGGAACAGAGTGTGATAGATTGTGGTGCTGTGGGGGTTTTGGTTTAATCGCTGAAAGTATGCTCATATTTTATTTTGAATACAAATGCACTGCTCCCTTGATCTACAGCAGTGGTCCCCAAGAACAAAAATATGGTCAGTTTACTACACTGTTGCCTCAAAACCACACAGCAATGAGAGTGACTGGTCTCGCGAAACCCTCTTATAGTGCCAAGGCAATGGGGATGTCGGGAGGGGAGAGGCTGACCCACAAAAGATTACTACTATCACATCAGCTCTAGGTTATTAAATATGGTTTTCTGTGGTTGAGCAGATAGTGACTACTAGATGGCATATGTTCTGTATCAGAAACTAGAGCTGATGTGGTCTATCCAATGCAATTTTCTGAATCAGCACCCCCAATAACCAAACCAAATCTAACGTTGACAAAAATCGATTTGTAACCCTTTTGGTACTAATGTTGGAGAGTGGTCCCTGGTCAAAGTGGTCCCTAGTCAAGTGGTCCCTGGTCAAAAACAGATTGGGATCCAGTGATCTACAGGAATGGCCCAAGAAAGAGGTGGGTTGGAGAGGGGAGATATTGGGAAATATAACACACAGTACTGCATCTCACAAGGAGGGTAATTAAACTGGCAAGGCAGAATCTGAACAACTGGTCCCTCTCCATACTTGTTTCTGAAAAAATAAATTATTTTCCTCTACTTTGCTTCTTTTTTCAACTCAAACTTCAATTCTCCACTGAGCTATTCTACTCCTATCTCACAATTCCATGGAAAGGATCATGCTAGGCTCCTACCATTTTTGTCCTTCTTGTTCATTATCTTTTCCACCCTAAACCACTGTATACTTCCTTCAGATTCTTCCACCCATTCCCCCCCCCCCCAAAGCATATCTGTTAAGCAGGTCTTTAAAATGCACTATATTCTTAATTATCCCTTTACCCACTCAGAATTCATTCAAGTGTCATATAATAAACTATAATTATTGTAGTGCACTTTCAAGCAATTTCTGACTTATGATGACTCTAAAGAGACACTGACTATCCGGATTGTTTAGGGGAGGGCGAATGTGCGACTTGGCTAAGATCATGCAGAAGATATCTATAGCCAAGAGGGAATTCAAACCCTAGTTTCCCAGTCTCACTCCAACCACTACATCACATTGGCTCTCTAGTTACACTTTCTAAAGTGTATTTGCTTCACTGTGTTAGTCTCTTTGAGTGTGTGAGTACTGCATTCCTTGGACACGAGCAAAAAGGCCCTTTGCCTATGAATGTGGACAGCAGTCTCAGGGAGATGCACTCCTGGGTCTTGAGCACATTTTTCCCCACAGTTCTCTACAGATAGCAATATAATTGTTATTGTGGAGGGAAGACCAGTTCTAAAAATGACCTCTTTCTGCTTTCTCAGCTATAAAAGGAAGCAATGAGAAGTCCTCCACAATTCCTAGTCAGATCAGGCTGGGCACATAAGAAAATGTCTGTCTTAACAAAAATGGGAAGGGAGAGAATTAAGAGGTTCCTACCTCCTGGCTGCTCTCAGAATAGTACTGGGTACAATTGCCACAGTAGTCTTTCCGGTGTGTATAACGCACAGCTGCTTCAACATATGGTAAATGCAGAAAACTGTATGGCAACTGGATGTGGAAAGTGAGCCTGCTGCACCTGCAAAACCCAAGACAGAAATAAAAAGGAAAGGACACCAATTTAATATCAGGAAGACTGTGAACATCTAGGAAATGAATGTAGCCAGGCCTGAATTGTCTAAAATGGCTTGAAAACCAAAAAGGTGCAAAACGGTGGCCAGACACACCCAGTCAACCCATGTTGGTATCCAATATTCCAGAGCTTTAGGTTTAAACATTTAAAAACATGCGTCAGTGGAATGTTGTACAGAAAGCCAGCAGTGGATTTGATGTGAGTTTAGGTTTTTCTCCCCATAAGGAGAATCTTGATCATGCCACCTTAACTCGTTCAGTGCACATTAAAGGATTTTCACACAGTGTCAATTCCCTCCCCTTACAACCTTTCTTTGTTTTTCTGTGGGTTTTTTTTCAAACTAGGTGAAGAGGTCTCTAATTCATAGAGTCACATTAAGTCAAAATCGAATTGACTGCTGTTAATGATATGATCCACTAGGGAATAAAAGGAAAATTATTTGCATGGTGGTGCCCTCTAATGAGGAGAGCCTTCTGGAAAAGCCCAGTAAGTACTGACCTGTCATAAATCAGGAAGTCATCCTTGTCCCCATCTAGAATTTGCCATACATCAGGTTCCAGAATCTGCTGCTGGTAAACAGGAATTCCTTGAGGGGCGTTTCTTTTAAGCTCCCAGTACATAGCCCTGGATAAAGGGGTCTTCTCATTCACAATCAGGAAGCTGACATTGGACACCCCTCCGTTGGACAGCTTCTTCTGCAAGCCACCAATGCTGATGGCAGGAAGAGAAATAACCAACATTTACAAAAAGTGGAGCCCCCGGTGGCACAGTGGGTTGAACCCTTGTGCCAGCAGAACTGCTGACTGAAAGGTCAGGGGTTCAAATCTGGGGAGAGGGGTGAGCTCCTGTCTGTCAGCACCAGCTTCCCATGCAGGGACATGAGAGAAGCTTCCCACAGGATGGTAAAACATCCAGGCACCCCCTGGGCAACGTCCTTGCAGACAGCCAATTATCCCACACGAGAAGCAACTTGAAGTTTCTCAAGTCGCTCGTGACATGAAAAAAAATACAAAATAAGATTAACCCTTTATCAGAAATATTAAAAAATAACTAGGTATTTTTACTTACAAAAATGTGAGTCAAGTACTGATGAAGGATGCTAAGCAAGGGGCTTAGGGTCTCTAACACTGAAAGGGTTAAGTAGATGCAATTACTCAGCAAAGCTGCAGTTCAATATAAGCAGGTGTACCTGTTGCTTAGTAATGTTTCAGTCTGAGAGAGCTCAGTGTGAGAGAAGCCTCTCTGTGTGAGAGAACGCCTTAGTGGTAGTATGCCTCACTGTGGGAGAAAAGGCCTCAGAGTGTGAGGTAGGCCCCAGTATGAGAAGACCTTGTGTGTGAAGCTCCAGTGTGAAGGCTTAACTTTATCTGTTATGGAAACCTTGTTTTTGTAAATAGTGCAACAATATTATTTTGCTATAAAAGAAAAGCCTCCTATGGATGAGATAACATTGGTCTGTGTGTTTTTGTTCTTTTTATCACTTTGGGCTATTGACACTGGGTCACGCTGCCACTGATAAGTTGCTGTACCTTTATGAGGAGGGCTTTTGTCGATAAGCCCACTCGCCCAACACCCTGGCTCTTTACATACACTATCTGATAAATGTCTTCACAGCCAGAGGCTCCTTCATTTATTAACTCACTGGTGGTCATTGCTGCATAGATCTCAAAATAGATTATATTTTATATTATGATCGAATTCTTGAGGCAAATGGCTCCAGTCTTTCATTATGTGTGCTATATTTTGTCTATTATAGCCAAAGCTGTAAGTCATTGAACTGGAATTTATGGAGAATCCGTCTTGTTTAACATTTGACTAATGTCCCATTTAGCAGATTAACATTTTCTGGCAGAAAGCCTAATAGAAAAACGGTGACATCTGAGTTGCCACATTTGCTATGAACAATAGAGGTGCAGTTCCAGCAGCTTGGAAAAGTAGCATGGCTGGGAAATTGTGAGACTCAAAGTCCAAGGAAAGCTAACTTTCCTGCACTGCAGCTCAAATCTGACACTGTATTTTATACTTGATAGCTTTTTGCAGCAGGCTTTGAGCCAAGCTGGTCTTCTTTTTGGCATGTACTCACTTGGCAGCCTGCTTGAGGCAGAACTGTCAGCTGGCTTTCAGCAAGGCCACCACTGTCACTTGACCCTCCATCCCAGCCATTGGGGCAGTCCCATTGATCTTCCATAGCGGCGCGGGCTGGCATATCCGGGTCTTGTTCTCAGTCACTTCTGCTTGTGCAACAGAGATAACCACCAGTCCCAGCAGCAGGATTCTGGGGGCTAAGGCAGAGTAAACCATCTTAGCCACCTCCTTCAGTCTGCAATAGAAAAGAACAGCAGTAACCCTGATCTCTGATAGGGTTGCTATGTATAGAAGGCAATCAGTGAGACATTAATTGATGATTTGAAGACACCGTCATACGGCAGACTCTCAGGACTTCATAGACAGTTTTCCCAAGCAAGACAGTGAGGTGGCATACATACTCTAGGGCTGTCACACTTCAGACTGTGGTGGGCAATTCATATGGCTGCATGCAATTCTATTATTGTGTACCTTCAAGGCATTTCCAGACAACCCTATCACAAAGTCTGGTGAGTTGTCACAGCTAGCATAACTTCATCACACTAGAGAAAAAATTCCACTTCAAATCAGGTTTCTGCCTCCTGCAGAATTGCAGAATAGTGAGGTTGTTAAAGGCTCCTCCCTAAACTACAAACCCCAGAATTCTGCAGGAGGCAGAAACTGGATTTTAAGTGGATTTTGAACATTTACTTGGAAGTAAGTCCTTGAGCCACCTTCCTTGTAAACATGCTTAGTGTTGAACCTTAGATATCAGATAGAATTACCCCAAACTTACCCTTCTTTCTTGATATAATATATCCTCCAAAATTCAGTAAAGGAAAACTGGGGGGTACTTATCATTAGGTAACTTTTTTTTACTGCAGAGCCAAATTCCCACCTTTCAATTCAAAGTTGCATTCAAGGAAACGATGCAGTCATAGGAGGGTCCGAGATCAAACCTTAGGCTCAAATAGCAAAGCCCTAAAACGTAATTATATGTGACTCAAACCCTTCCACATTATCACCCACACAAACGGATTTGATAGCATACAAATCAGTGACTCCTCTCAGATATCCACCAAGACCTTTTCACTTTCTGTTTCTGAACCCTGTCAAGCTTTATGTCTTAGTGATATCTCTTTCATGTTAAATTCAAATACAAGCCTTAACCATTTCCAGAGCACAACACCCTCCCCCAATCCATTGCACTGAGAATTCCCAACAAAAATTTATGGTACTCTGCCTTTCTCCATGCGACTCCAGTTGTTGCTCTGCTCTGTCTTCTGAGGGACTTTGGACTATTCTAGTGTTGATACAAGCCTCTGACTGCCCATCCCCAAACCGACCCCCAACATAAGCTATCTCTCCACTCAAAGGCGGCTGGGAGGAAGGAGGTAGTTGGTTGTCGGGATATCTACAGATCCCTCTTGATAATTTCAATATGTTTGTGCCTATTGCTGACAGTCACGCAGTGCTATTTGTTTCACACTCAAAAACATCACAGGCAGGCGTTAGAGAAATGCCATGCAGTGCCAGGACTGCATTCTGGAGAGCATGATTCCCCCAGAGGATGGCAAGTTGACAAAACTGCTGCCTGACCATTTTGAAGAACGCTATAAGAAAATAGGTCATTATGAAGCAAAAAGAGGGCATTGTTATAGAATGCATACAGGCAGTCCCCAAGTTATGAACAAGATAGGTTGTGTAGGTTTGTTCTTATGTTGAATGTGTATGTAAGTGGGAACAGGTATATTTTTAAATATAACTCCCTCTCTCTCAGTGGTTCTCAACCTGGGGTCCCCAGATGTTTTTGGCCTTCAACTCCCAGAAATCCTAACAGCTGGTAAACTGGCTGGGGTTTCTGGGAGTTGCAGGTCAAAAACATCTGGGGACCCCAGGTTGAGAACCACTGCGAGTCTCTCTCTCTCTCTCTCTCTCTATATATATATATATATAGCATATATGTGTGTGGGTTTTTTTGCTGTCTGTGCCCCTGTTCAGAAGGTTTCACCTCACTTTCTCTCCCTGTGACAACGGGATTCTGAAAAATTTGTCTTCTTGTGGAAACAAGGATTGGTGAGAAGCTTAAGCTAGTGGTTCTCAACTTTTGGGTCCCCAGGTGTTTTGGTTTACAACTCCCTGAAATCCCAGCCAGTCTACTAGCTGTTAGGATTTCTAGACCAAAACATCTGGGGACCCACAGGTTGGGAACCACTGGCTTAAGCGGAGACACATATTCCCCATGATAATTCAGGAGTTAATTCCCTTCCAAGGGGTCAATTTCTTTCACTTCCTTTGTTTCAATCCCGTTCTTAATTATGAGTCAATTTTCAGCCAAATGTTTGTAGCTTGGGGACTGCCTGTACTTCAGAAATGTTCCATTTGCTTGCATCCTCACAGAATGTTGTATGTGTCACTTTGACACATACAAGGGCGGTATTGGAGCCTTCGGTGGAGCAATGGGTTAAACCCTTGTGCTGGCAGGACTGCTGACTGAAAGTTTGGCGGTTTGAATACGGGGAGCTGGGTGAACTCCCGTCTGTCAGCTCTGACTTCTCATGCAGGGACATGAGAGAAGAATCCCATAAGATGGTAAAACATCTGGGCATCCCCTGGGCAACGTCCTTGCAGACAACCAATTATCTCACACCAGAAACGACTTGCAGTTTCTCAAGTTGCTCCTGACAAACACACACAAAAGGGGGGGGGGGTTATTAATACCACTGCCTACAAATGGCATATTTTGCTGTTAACTCATTCAAAACTCTCTTGGGACCAGATTTTATTACTTTCCCCAAATTAATATATGCAGCTCTCTCTCTTGTTGTTGTTGTCTTGTGGCATTGGTAGTGACTTTGTCTGGAACGTGCTAACCTGTGAAAATTACATTTTGCACCAACCCCTCTCATGTCATCTTTTAAACTCCATGCATACTGCTACACAATGTGGTTCCTTCACTCTTCATACACCATGTGTTGTTAAAGAAAAAATGACAGAAACTTTGAAAACACCCTTTAACAATAACTGAAAAAATATAAAATAACTAAAATGGTAAACCCTAAAAAAGAAGTACAGTCATCTTGCATATTTTTATTACTTCCATTTTATTATGCATCACCCATCCTCAACGTTCGGTGGTGCAGTGGGTTAAACTGCTGAGCTGCTGAACTTGTTGATCAAAAGGTCACAGGTTTGAATCCGGGGAGTGGCATGAGCTCCCGCTGTCAACCCCAGCTTCTGCCAACCTAGCAGTTCAAAAACATGCAAATATGAGATCAATAGGAACCACTTTGGCAGGAAGGTAACAGCACTCCATGCAGTTATGCTGGCCACATGACCTTGGAGGTGTCTATGGACAACACTGGCTCTTCAGCTTAGAAATGGAGATGAGCACCAACCCTCAGAGTCAGATACAACTGGACTTAACGTCAGGGGAAAACCTTTACCCATCTTCAAGTCCAATGACCTAAGTTTGGTATAGACTTTTTGCACAACCCTCTTTTTTTCTGCACTCATCCCTTTTAATGCAAATTTGCTTTTTCTTTTGAAGTCCCTATGGAATGACATTGAAGCGATGTTTTCCCCACCCAGAAGTGTGTCCTTCACTCCATGAAAGACAAGATAAAAACAGGCAGCGCAGCAAAATAAAGAGACCGCTTTTGCAAAGACTCCAGGGAAGAGACTGCAGAGGGTAGAGAGCTCTTCACAGAAGGAAAGCAGTTTTCCCAGGTATGTTTGGCCTTCTTTTGCCTCACCAAATGACAACTCCCAGCATCCCATCGCATTGAGACATGGCGGGTCAATATGGTGTCAAACTGCATTAACTCTATAGTGCAGATGCAGCCAGAGAGTGAGAGGAAGAAAGAAATGCCTTCCAAGTTATGTAGCAGCACATCACAAAATAATAATAATAATAATAATAATAATAATTATTATTATTATTATTATTATTATTTACAACATTTATATGCCACCCTTCTCACCCTGAAGGGGACTCAGAGCGGCTTACAAGATATATATATATACACACACACACACACACACACACACACACACAATATATTATATTATTAGCATAGTATAATATCAGTATTAAATATTACTATATTATACTATAACAATATATTTTAATATAATTAGTAATATTACATGCAATATAAATATATAATTATAATATCATATTATTAGTAGTAGTATTATACTGCATTACATTATAAAATTATAAATCTATATAAATAAAAATGTAATGTTTGTTTGTGGGATTAACGTAACTCAAAAACCACTGGACGAATGGACACCAAATTTGGACAGCATACACCTAATAACCCAATGTATGTAATTTGCTCAAAAAAGTTTGATTTTGTCATTTGGGAGTTGTAGTTGCTGGGATTTATAGTTCACCTACAATCAAAGAGCATTCTGAACTCCACCAATGATGGAATTGAACCAAACGTGGCATACAGAACTCCCTTGACCAACAGAAAACACTAGAAGGTTTTGGTGGGCATTGACCTAGAGTTTGGGAATTGTAGTTCACCTACATCCAGAGAGCACAGTGGACTCAAACAATGATGGATCTGGACCAAACTTGGCATGAATATTCCATATGCCCAAATATGAACACAGATGGAGTTTGGGGAAAATAGACCTTGACATTTGGGAGTTGTAGTTACTGGGATTTATAGTTCACCTACAATCAAAGAGCATTCTGAACCCCATGAACAACAGAATTGGGGCAAACTTCCCACACAGAACCCCCATGACCAACAGAAAAGGTAAAGAATTTCCCCTGACATGAAGTCCAGTCGTGTCCGACTCTGGGGTGTGGTGCTCATCTCCATTTCTAAGCTGAAGAGCCAGCATTGTCCGTAGACACCTCCAAGGTCATGTGGCCGGCATGACTGCATGGAGCACCATTGCATGTTTTCGAACTGTTAGGTTAGCAGAAGGTGGGGCTGACAGTGGAAGCTCACGCTGCTCCCCTGATTCGAACCTGCGACCTTTTGGTCAACAAGCTCAGTGCTTTAACCCACTGTGCCACCGCATACAATATAATAATATTATCTTATATTATTAGCATAGTACAATATCAGTATTAAATTCGTACTATATTGTACTATACCAATATATTTTAATATTATTAGTAATATTACATGTAATATAAATATATAATTATACTATATTAGTAGTAGTAGTATTATATTGCATTACATTATAATATTATAATATTATAATATTATATATATATATAATATATATATAATATATATATATATATGGACAATATATAGATACACATACACATACATACATATACACACATACACACACAAAAGAGAAAGCCGCATAGATCAGGAAAAGAGGGGAGAAGGAGGGAGGGAAATCTTGTGTGGCCTCTAAGGAAGAACCAATGGGTTGCAGCATCGTCAGGTTCTGTGGACAATGCTCTCTTTCTTTTGGCTGCAACCAGAAGGGAGGGTTTCATCTCTGCTGGAATCCAAAATAGTCCATTTCTGCCTTTGCTCCTGTGCCTGAATTCCTTCGCAGTGTTGGTTGCTGAGTGCCTTCCAATCAGGCCAGAGTTCTAGAGACCTTCAGCCTATCAGAGGAGGGTTTTCTTAGCGCAGCCTTGGCGGAGCCTCGGAGGCTGAGAGAGTGTGACTCGCCCAAGGTCAGGCGCCCAAGGTTGAGCCCGCCCAGATTTCCGCTTCCGACCTTCGCCGGGTGCCCGCCGCGTGGGTTTGGCTGTCTTGGAGAGGGAAAGGAAGAGAGGCTGCAGCCTGGAGCAGAGCTGAACCGGATCCAAGCAAGGCAAGATCCTCAAAAGGAAAGGGAGCGGGAGGGAGGGAAGGGATATTTCGGGCAGAGAGAAGGGGACCCCAAAGGCAAGGGAGCAGGGCCCTAGGTTATGGGTATGGCTATCTTCCTGGGAAGGAAACCAAGAAGGAAACAGTCAAGGGAGAGATATACAAGGTATCTCTTCCAAAAATGTGTATACAACTAGTATCTATGATAGGCATGGGCAAACTTGGGCCCTCCAGGTGCTTTGGACTTGAACTCCCACCATTCCTAACAGCCTCAGCCCCCTTCCTTTTCCCCCTCAACTGCTTAAGCGGCGGAGGGGGGAAAAGGAAAGGGCCTGAGGCTGTTAGGAATGATGGGAGTTGAAGTCCAAAACACCTGGAGGGCCCAAGTTTGCCCATGCCTGGTCTACAGTAATAATTAGACTGTGGCTTGTGCTTTTGGTGCTGTTGTTTCAGGATGCCTTTAAGCCAAAGCATTACTCCAGAGGAGAGCAACTAAAATGATCAAGGGTCTGGAGAACAAGCCCTATGAGGAGCGGCTTAAAGAGCTGGGCATGTTTAGCCTGCAGAAGAGAAGGCTGAGAGAAGACATGATGGCCATGTTAGGGGAAGTCAGAGGAAGGAGAGGAGCAAGCTTGTTTTTTGCTGCCTTGGAGACTAGGACGCGGAACAATGGCTTCAAACTACAGGAGAGGAGATTCCATCTGAACATGAGGAAGAACTTCCTGACTGTGAGAGCCTTCAGCAGTGGAACTCTCTGCCCCCGAGTGTGGTGGAGGCTCCTTCTTTGGAGGCTTTGAAACAGAGGCTGGATGGCCATCTGTCAGGGGTGCTTTGAATGCAATTTCCTGCTTCTTGGCAGGGGGTTGGACTGGATGGACCATGAGGTCACTTCCAACTCTTGATTCTACTCTTCAGCGTGTTTTTCTGCTCAGTAACGTAAATTGCATTCAAAGCACCCCCGACAGATGGCCATCCAGCCTCTGTTTAAAAACATCCAAAGAAGGAGCCTCCACCACACTCTGTGGCAGAAAGTTCCACTGCTGAACAGCTCTCATAGTTAGGAAGTTCTTCTTAATGTTCCAGTGGAATCTCCTTTCCCGTATTTTAAAGCCATTGTTCCACGTCCGAGTCCCAGGGCAGCAAAAAACAAGCTTGCTCCCTCCTCCCTATGACTTACCTTCACAAATTTGTACATAGCCCTCATCATGTCTCCTCTCAGCCATCTCTCCTGCAGGCCCAGCTCTTTAATTAACTCCTCATAGGGCTTGTTCTCCAGACCCTTGATCATTTTAGTCGCCCTCCTCTGGACACATTCCAGCTTGTCAACATCTCCCTTCAATTGTGTTGGACAAAGTATGATTCCAAGTGTGGTCTGACCAAGGCAGAATAGAGGCGTAGCATGACTTCCCTGGATCTAGACACTAGACTCCTATTGATGCAGGCTAAAATCCCAGTGGCTTTTTTAGCCACTGCATGACATTTTTGGTCCATGTTTCACTTGTTGTCCACGAGGATTCCAAGATCTTTTTCATACGTACCACTATCGAGCCAGGTATCCACCATTCTGTATTTCATTTTTTTCTGCCTAAGAGGAGTATCTTGCATTTGTCCCCGTTGAACTTCATTTTGTTAGTTTTGGCCAATCATCTCTCTAATCTGTTAAGATTGATTTGAATCCTGCTCCTGTCGTCTGGAGTATTGTCTATCCCTCCCAATTTGGTGTCGTCTGCAAACTTTATGATCCTGCCTTCTAACCCTTCATCTAAGTCATTAATAAAGATGTTGAACAGGACCGGGCCCAAGACGGAACCCTGCGGCACTCCACTCATCACACCTTACCAGGATATCCCTATTTAAGCTTTACTGTAAGCTATATTTCATAAGGAACAGTTAACTTAACCTCTGGAACCTCTGTATCACTACAGAGTCACACTGGAGGACCTAGAAGGGATTTTGCAGGTAAAAAATTAGTGTTATGTATTTGCAGAGTTCCCACTTTTGCAGAATTCCTATGCCCGTAACCAGAGCGAATGTGTTGGGCTGACTGTACATGTAACTCTTTTTAATATTAATGGGCAGAAGTGTTTAAAATGTGTTTGACTTGGGTTACAGCAGTGGTTGTGTACTTTCAAGTCATTTCAGACTTAGGTTGACCCTGAGCGAAGGCCGGGTAAATGACCTTGGAGGGCCGCATCTGGCCCCTGGGCCTTAGTTTGAGGACCCCTGCTCTACTTCTTTCTGATGTTGTAGCTTTGTGGGCTTGTTCTCATGTAGCACATTCCTTTTACAATGTCTCTAAATATCCTGCTTTTCCCATTTGATGAAGAACACACTGTCCTTAGTATGAATGTGAAGAGATAGTGATGACAACATACTTTTAGTTGAAAAATAGCATCTGAAAGAAGAGCAACTAAAAGAGTTGATTTCTTGGTAGCTGCTTGTCTGTAAGGAAGAACCAAAGTGGCCAGAACCTGTTTTAAATCACTGCTTATTAAAATGTGGGTCCCAACCCCAAATGGGGTCCCCTTAGCTGAATGGTTCTCAACCTGGGGTCCCCAGATGTTTTTGGCCTCCAACTCCCAGAAATCCTAACAGCTGGTAAACTGGTTGGGATTTCTGGGAGTTGTGGGCCAAAAACATACGGGGACCCCAAGTTGAGAACCACTAAATGTTGGGGTCCTCACCTATATACCTGGGATTGTGTAAAATAAAACTGGGCCAAAATGGATCTCAAGTGGAAAAGTTGAAGACACCTTGTTCTAAGGGAACAGTAGACGTTTCCTGAACAACATCTCTAGTGGCTGTTTTAGACATTTATTTGCACAAAACTGTTGTGCAATGTTTACAGTGGATTCTGCAGAAGATGCTTCAACAGCACTTCATTACAAAAATCAACAAATTTAGCAAGCCCTGACAAATGCTGGTTTGTTATCATCGGACGTTATCAGTAGATGTCCGATTTTTATATCTCTTTTATATGCCACCTGGGATCGTGTAAAATAAAACTGGGCCAAAATGGATCCCTGTTCTAAAGGAATGAAGGAAAGGGGTTATTGAGGGGCAAGGTCTTGAACCTTGGATATTGGTCCTATTTTGCATCCTAGGCCTGGGCATTTTTGTACTAATTCCTATTCTTGCAAAAATGGAGCATTTCTGTTTGCGTAGCAATAGAAGGTAAAATATAAAAGTTTCACCACCACCCCCCAAGTTGTGTCTGGCTGGGGTGGTGGTGCTCATCTCCATTTCTAAGTTGAAGACGCCTCCAAGGTCATGTAGCCAGTACGACTGCATGAAACACCGTTACCTTCCCGCCAAGGCAGTACCTATTGATCTACTCACATTTGCATGATTTCAAACTGCTAGGTTGGCAGAAGTTGGGCCTAACAGCGGGAGCTTACCCCGCTCCCCAGATTCCAACCACTGATTTTCAAGTTCAGCAGCTCAGCAGTTTAATCCACTGCACCACCAGGAGGCCCTAGCAATAGAAAAAGGGGCCTCAACTTGCATTCCAGCCCCTCCTGCCTGTACCCTGCCCTCAAATAATCAAGCACTGAACTGGATTTTTCTCTATTTTTATAGATCCAACAACAAAGCTGTTAGTTGCCATCAGCTGTCTTCTCAAACTGCATCATGCCTCTTCTACACCGCTTATGCTACATCGGGTTCCATGTTCTTGAGAAGGAACATCTGGCCAAAGACCTGGTGAGTAAGTTTGGCTTTGAGTTGTTTGCAACACGGAAAGCAGAGTCGAGCAGGCAGTTGGCTTTGCGAAGAGGGGATGCAATTTTTGTCGTCAATGAAAAACGGCAGGAGATACCTGGAGAAGTTGCACCTGAGCCGTCTTCTGATAGTGGGATCCTCTACGATGTGGACCTTCAGTATGCTGTCAGCACAGCCTCCAACATTGGCTTTGAAACAGAAGATGTACCTGGCTTCACTCTGAGTCTGCAGGAACGTGGCTGCCAGGTCCTTATCCCTCCCACCACTGTAGCAGATGAGGATGGCTGTGTCATTTATTCTGTGGTGAAATCTATTGTGGGCAACATCAGCCACACTCTACTTGACCGGTCTCAATATTGTGGACTATTCTTGCCTGGCTTCCAGGTTGAGAAAGATGCCCTCAACAAGTTCCAGAAGATTGGGGAGATCACACACTTTGACCACATCACTTTTGTTTGCCCCCAGGGCAGTACTCAAGCTTTACTGGAGTGGTATGAGACCTGCTTTGATTTCCAGCGCTTCCTGGTCCACAAGCAAGATGACATTGCAGAGGGCTATGTAATCCATGGGGCTGGTGTGGGTCTTCGCCTCACTGCCATGTGGTACAGTGGGCTTGAACATGACTGTAAATTTATTCTGGCAGAGTCAATGCCAAAGCAGAGGCAAAACCAGGTGGACAGTTTCTTAGAGCAGCATGGTGGGGCTGGCATCCAACACGTAGCCCTCTATTCCACAGATATCATAAGTACTGTTGCAGCCATGGCCAAGTCTGGAGTAAACTTTGTCAAAACGCCCTTAGCGTATTACACTGAGAAAAGAAAGATGCAGGAGATACAGCGATCTGGGCAGAATCTTCAGCTCTTAAAAGATCATGGAATTCTTCTGGATGCTGCCGTAGATGAGGAAGGAGACCAGAGTGACTCAGCCCTCCATGGGAAACAATTCCTGATGCAGATCTTCACCAAGCCACTCTTTAGAGAGGAGACATTCTTTCTGGAAGTCATAGAGCGATGTGGGGCTGCAGGTTTTGGAGAGGGAAATATCCGTGCTCTTTGGCAAGCTGTACAGAATTACTTGGGCCATCAGTAGGGAGAGATTCTTTAGTTCTCAACGCAAATAATCCTTTTGTGATGTCACTGCTCTTGCAAGCCTACTTTTGGCGCTTGTGTTCCCATGTCAGATTAATAATTTGCCTAGGAGTTGCCAAGACAGGGCCATGGCTGCCTTGCTCTGCTCCTTGCTCAGGCCCAGCGCCGCTATGCCAGTAGCAGCAGCAGCAGTAGGGAAGCCTGCTCGACCCGGACGTGGAAGCCCGGGCCTGGGGCAACACATGGGACCCCAGCAGGAAGGCCTCCTCCTCCTCCTGCCCCTCCACTTCTCTGAGGAGCCGTAGGGAAATAATAATAATAATAATTATTATTATTATTATTATTATTATTATTATTATATTATTATTATTATTAGGGAAATGTAGGACGAGCAAGGCCTCATCAGGGAAGGAGGAGGAGGAAGAGGAAGAGGAGACAGCATCTACACTGGAGAAACAATGGGTATACGGTGTTCCCTTGCTACTTGTATATTTTAAATTTTTTTAAAAAAATCCCGCGAAACAGCGAGTCTGCAGAAAGCGAACCGCGAAGTAGCGAGGGAACACTGTATATCCTGTGGCTGACCTGTAAACTAGAACTTGTATACATCACTGAGGTGAACTGGGAGACGACCACAGGAAAAAAGTGTTGTGGCAGCAACCACACCTTTTCAAAAGAATGCATATGATTTTTTTCTTTCTGGGCACCTAAGCTAATATTTTTTTCTCAACCCTTAAATGGAATAAGGCAAAGCATACATTTCTGTCCTAGAGAGGAGGAAAATGCTATTATTTTAAAGTAAGTCTATAATAAAACATGTATTCTTTGAGGACCTGGAAACAAAGTCTGATATAGCTAAATTGCCCTTTGAATAACTCTTTTTCTGCTACCCCTATCTTAAGGCCAGATGTCTCTACAAGTCTTGCTGCTTATGCAATTTCTGTTGCCCTGTTTGTAATATTCCCAGTGAAAAACATTCTTCCTATTCTGCTTTTTTTCACGTGCCATAAAGCAGGGCTCTGTTGGCTGGCTGTAGAGGGCCAGAGAGACAATGCACGTTGTTTTAGTTCAGAACATGCTTCAGTAATTGCCTGGACTGAATGGTATTTAGCTCATTGATTCTTCGGGTCCTTGGGTTCTTGTCAGTACTAAATGAAATCTAGATTTTACTGGGAGGAGACATAGTGTTATTATTTGTGTGTTTTAGTAGTATTACTGATGTAACAATGGCATTACAGAGGTAGTAAACTACTATTTCCTTATTATTTTTTCCTTATTAATATTAACACAAACTCATTGTTACAAAAACTCCACAATTGGAGTAATGGTGAAGTTGGCAGCTGTGTTTCCTAAGAAAGGCGTACAGATGACTTCATTTTGTTCATCTCACAAATTCTCCCATCTCTTCTTGTCCAGAATTTGAGAAAGATTGGGTGTGTGGTTTTCTTTAAGAATATCAGCTTGCTTTTAAATATACCTATTGAAGACTCCTGGAAACACAACCAGAAGACTCCTTCCTGCTAAAATAAGTGAATCAACTCATTGTATAAATAAGTGAAAAATAGAAACACGACTTTGCGTGCTATTGAGAAATGTCTCTTAGAAACTGAAATGGAAAAAGCGAAGTGGCATGTGGACACCTACCCAAATTTGTCCCAATCCCAAGGTAAAGAAGTTGGCATATTCAAAAGCATGAAGCCTATCTCAAAAACAAAACTATGCTTGGTTTTCTTCCCAAACTCCTTTGAGAGCTTGAACAGCTAGTGCTGTTGAGCTATTACTTTTTCTTCTGCTTCAAGGCTCCTTCCTAGGTATCCTAAAAGTATTACCCGTTGGGATGGAATAACAACAACAGCACTGTTTTCTTTAGAAACACAGTTTCATTCATTGTTTCAAGGCATATTATTCTTTTTTCTACTGAATGTGATGGCATAGTGTTTTGATATTTTAGTTTGGTAGTTTAGTCGGTTTGTTTGTTTGAAAATGTCTCAATTTCTATAATTCTGTAATCCTGGCTAGAACTTTTTCCAAGTACGATCATTCCCCTGTATTTCCTTTCTCCTTAAAATTAAAATAATTGATAAGTCTGTTGTCATTCTCAGAAACCACTGTGTGTAAAGTTTGTTATTCTTTTCCTGGTCTCTCACTTCAGCACTATATACACAAAGCATGCTTTATTGAATTCTTTACCATGAGACCAAGCTTTTTGAACTTGGTATATCTTTCACTTGGGGAAGGTGATATACTGGTTTATATGTAACTGATAAAGAACCATAGTTGACACCTTCTAGCTTGTAATACTTTGCTTTTGGAATTACTATAGATGGAGCATTTATCCTTCAAGCAAGCCACCTTTTTTGGTCAGTAGACAGGATGCTTTTTAAAAAGTGGTAAATGTTTTTTGTATGCATACTGCAATTGTGATATTATTTGTGGATTGCACAACATACAACATGTGCATGAACACTCTTCTTCTTCCCAAGCCCCTTCCACACAGCTGAATAAAATCCCATATTATCTGCTTTGAGCTGGGATATATGGCAGTGTGGACTCAGATATTCCAATTCAAAGTACTATAGATATTGTGGGTTATTCTGCCTTGATATTCTGGGTTATATGGATATGTGGAAGGGGCCCCAGTTGTGTCTCTATTTTTAATCATGCTTCAGTCATACATATGATCAAATCTCTTAGTTCCTTCCCACCATCATGACTCCACACATGTCATCGATAAGCTGGAGCTCAACTTACCAACCACAGGAGAAGTTTCACAATTCAGTACTGTAATATGGATAACACAACTGATTTTGGGGAAGCATCAGTCACTGAAAAACTGGCATAAATAATATCTTGATACAAATTATTTAAAAATTTATTAGGGTAAACAAAATTAAAATGACATTGTTAATTTGTTATAAAAATGGCAATTAATGCAATGCTAAGACCCAGTAAAAGAATATTTACATGTCTTAAGAAGTAACAAGAAAGCTGCATGATCAAATTTGTCAGCCACTGAAGGTCAGATACCCTATCCTACTTTTGTTATCCTGTGTGGCATTTAAAACGTATTTTCTTTGTTGCTGTGTCATGAATGTATGAATCGCCACTATCTGCTTTTATTGTGCATGTGCAAGATTGTTGGTGGACTGCAATATTACAGCTTTCCCATGATGTGCTTGCTACAGACAGCTGTTGTTACCCTCCACTTAGTCCCTTATCCCTCAAGGTAAAAGACACATGGGGAATCCAAGAGAAGCAATAATATTTCATAGTAGCAGACTGTGTTTAGCATTGTCCCCAACAGGCACATGAATACCTCAGACAAGAAGTATAATGTGAAGGTCATGAAATTATCGTCCCCTTGAAGAGACACCAGCAGTGCATTAAAATACAGGACAGCAGAGGATATGAATCATTTCTCATATGAAGTCAGGCACAGCAGACAGACTATATCAGTTCTTATGATTTGTTGCAAGAAAAGAATCCAGAGAAAGCTGCCTTTTGCAAGCACTGGTCTCTTCCGGCTTTGAACGGCTCGCATGTAGGAAGTCTCGTTTCCGCTTAACAACCTGAACAATCACACATGCAGATATATTAATACAGAAATGCCTGTGGCTGTCTATATACTCCATCTTCCCACTGAACACTAGCCCTAACTTTAGGTCCTTGGGTCTAGGGGAAAAGCCAAACCATCAGTATCTCCATGGTATGATTGTAAGAAAGTGTAATTACAGGCAGTACCCGGGTTACAGGCATCCGAATTACAAATTACTCATAGTTAAGAACGGGGGTGAGACAACAGGAAGTGAGAGAAACCAACCCCTTGGAAGGGAAATTCACTCCTATAAGAATTATCATGGAGAAAAGGTGTTTCCACTGAAGCTCTCTCACCAATCCTTGTTTCCACAACAAGCCAATGTTTTCAAAATCCAGTGCTAACAGGGACAAAAAGTGAAGTGAAATCTTCTAAACAGACTGCCAAACAAACACGACAGGGGTGTTAATCAATCCCCATGCTATCCAATGCTAATATATATACATTTTTGGCTGGAGTTACTGTTCTGTTCTGTTTCTGTTCTGACTTACATACAAATTCACCTTAAGAACAAATCTATAGAACCTATATTGTTCATAACTTGGGGACTGCCTATAGTAAGTTTCAAATAAAATTTCTTTTACCGATAACTAATTCTGAAGTATGTACTATTTTGTTTTGGGAACATTCCCAAAATTGCAGTTTAGTTCTATTAAAATGATGAACTTACATTGTCAGAACTGGTTTTAGAGCTCCATGCTTCATATGCTTTCAAAACCTGAAAATAAGATGCCTAACATGACACACAAACCATTTAGCAGTACACTAAATTGCTAACTTAATAATTGAAATAAAAGGTGCTATACAAATAGATTCTACTAATGAATAGCAGAATCCCATGCAAGCACCCAGTTTCAAAAGTGGAAACTAAAGGATGTTGCAGAGATGAGGCACTCCCTTGTTTATTTATTTTTATTTATTTACTTTATATACCGCTTTTCTCTTTACAACATGCCCTTGTCTTCTCCACAGATAAAGATGTCCAGGCAGTTTGTAAAATTTAATTCAACACAAAGTTTCTATGGCAACATTCCACATTGTTTTTCACCTGCATATCTTTAGAGAAATGCAACCTGAAATCAGTATTCAGTACCTTTTTCATAGCTGTAGAAATAGCTGAGCTCTGGAATTCGGTTTTGGTCACCCATCGGGATGCTGGCAACTCCACCTCTTTGTCCCAGTTTTTCTCTTCTTTGTTCAGATTTAAAAAATAGATCATATATGTTTGGCGGATATGGGAGAAAATATGGAGGACCTGGTGAAGGCAAGAGATGAGGGCAGACATGGAGACATATCCTATGGCTCAACAACATCCTCTCCTTCCCTTCTAGTGGACACGTTATGCAGTTTCTTGGCCAAGAAGGAAGCAAATTCCACCCTTGTAAAGAGCGGCTGGGCAGCAAGCTTTAAATGAAGAGTTTCCCCTTTTGAAGTCTTATCATTGCCTTGAAATAAGGATCTGCAAGTATATCAATATCATTTAGCAGGGATGAGAATGGTGCTTTATGGAACC